TTCAGGAGGCCCCCGTGGGCCGTAGGCCACGGGGCCAAAATCACGTCGGAGGCGAAATAAATTCAAGGGAATCCCAAAAATCACGTCAGGATATTCAGGGCCTCTGACCAGCCTGACAGCTAGGGTCCTTCTTACTTCCTGGGGCCTCCTGTGAATAACTGCTAGTGTCTGTGTCTGACCGCTAGGGCCCCTCTGACTCCTCAGTAGAAAGGAGACCCTCTGTAAGAGGAGAGGAGGCCCCTCTGTAGAGAGGAGGCCCCTTTAGAGAGGAGGCCCTCTGTAGAAAGGAGGCCCTCTGTAGAGAAGAGACCATCTGTAGAAAGAAGGCCCTGTGTAGAGAGGAGGCCCTCTGTAGAAAGGAGACCGCCTGAAATCAGAAGGCCCTCTGAAGAGAGGAGGCCCGCTGTAGAGAGGAGGCCCTCTGAAGAGAGGATGCCGTCTGTAGAGAGGACTCCCTCAGTAGAGAGGAGGCCGGAGGCCCTTTGCAGAGATGAGGTCCTCTGTAGAGAGGAGGTCCTCTGAAGAAAGGGTGCCCTCTGAAAGAGATAGACCCTCAGTAGAAAGGAAGTCCTCTGTAGAGAGGAGGCCTTCTGTAGTTGATAGGCCCTGTGAAAAGAGGAGGCCCACAGTAGAGAGGTGGTCCTCTCTAGAGAGGAGGCCCCTCTGTGTTTTGATTTTTTTTTTTTTGCAAATTTGTGTACGTACAGGTCAATACGAGATCGTGACTGTACCTAATTACACCAACCAACCGTGTCAAATTGAATCGGAATTCATATGTGTACTATGGAGTGTGAAGGAACTCCGGCTTGTACTACCATACTAAAAGAGTTATAAAATTTGTGATTTGGAGCAGTGTTTTGACAAATGCTTTTGCAAATTTTCTCGGCGCTCCGCGCTTCCGATTCATACGCCAATCAATAAGAAAGGTCGTGACTGTAATAACACCAACCGTGTCAAATTGAATCAAAATTCCCTAAGTGTATAGTCGACTACAGAATGATGTTCCACTCCTCAGAAGCATCAGTTGACTGGAGCGCTAGTTGTGCCGTTTATCACGCAATTAAGCGCCTGTCGAGTGTCGATTGTGAGCATTAGGACAAAGTTATAATTTGTGAATTCAGCCCGTGTGATGCGGCACAGCCTACCACTCCAGGCAAATATTTGCCTGTGAAAAGTGGAACAACATTCTTAAAAAAAAAACGTTTTTTTTTGCAAATTTTCGCAGCGCTTCGCGCCGCCGGTTCGTTAACAGGTCAATAAGAGAGATCGCTACTGTATGCTACTAATGCATTAGGCTAAAAGTGCGGTAACAATATCAACTTCTATGTTTTAAGTCGGTCGATACGTCCCCCCCCCCCCCCAGTAAGAAATCCGTGGCGACGCACTTGCATAGGTGGATTTAACTAAAACTACTGAGCCGAGTGACTTATAACGATAAAGCTTCATCTTATAGAAACGACGAAGACGAAATGCCTTTTGATCTCGACATACTCGCTCCCCTCCCCCGGTCGTCAGAATTCATCCATCAGACCCGTCATGTCGGCCGACCTGTAACCCCTCCCCCCCCCCCCACAAAAACGTTCGCCTAGATCCTCCCTTGCCCTCTGTAGAGAGGAGGCGCCCTGTAGAGAGGAGAGGAAGCCCCCCCGGATCCTCCGCCCCCCCTTGGCCAAATCCTAGGTACGTGTCTGCAAATGTTTTGTGCATTTTGGGAGTATTCGTGTGGCTACACGACCTGCAACTTTAAAAACAAAATTATGCTTCCAATGATATGCAGAAGGCGGGGGTTTTGCGAAATACTACAACAGAAATTGTTCTGTGACTGTCCTGTTTTACCGATCACGATCCGCCTACTTTGTCGATACCGCTATCGTGGCCCTAGAAGTAGTCGAGGAGGTCCCTGAAACAGCCAAAAGGGAGCCATTAAACAGTCTACAATCTTTACACAAAAACTTGACCCTTCCGAAATGAAGTGGGTGATTGGTGAAAAGTGAGTAGGGTAGACCGGGGCAAGTCGCCCCGCCGAGGTAAAACGCCTCACCGATGTTTCTCGGAACTGGCAGAGTTATGGGGAAACATCCTCTCTTCTATAAAACGTGCACTATATGATCATTATATGAGCAGACTGGAAAGAAATTGTGATGACTCTTTCGGGAGATATAGCCAAAAATGTATTTTTTGAGTGATTTTTATGTTTTGTTGTCAGATTATGCATCATGGCGTTCTTTTATGGTCCACCTCAGGTTAACGACTTTTATGTATTTTGAACAACTATTGTCTAACGCTTATCATGCCGGGTTGGTTCGTGTTAAATTATGTCTTGCTGGAGTGCAAAGCGTTGTTCTCTGACCGAACTACGTGATGGGGTAAAACGCCCCAGTAGGTCGCGGGGCAAAAAGCCCCATGAGGCGTTTTACCTCATGTGTTGTTCGGGCTACCCACTTTCTAATGTTCGGTAGCTGGCGAACAGTAAGTTTCTATGCCTTTATGTGTATTTTTCTCAGCAACTGGATGGCAAAGGAAGTATTCTGTAAACATTTGCATTCCAATAATTTATTATTTGGTCTTATGAGGCAGGTGAAAAACCTGCTCATACAATAGTGTCATAGCTGAACACCTGACAGGATGGAATGTGTTAACTTCAGAGCCGTGCCTCCAGAGGTCTAACGGACCTCTCACATAAGATTAAGCCAACTACCATGTTAAATCTGTAATCTTAAGTATGGGGCTACTTGCCCCAGGCCGTGGGGCGTTTTGCCCTGGGGTTGGGGCAAAATGCCCCATTTGCAGTTGTTTCACAAATCACTTCCTAGCTTGGAGTCCGATCATAAGTGAATGAATTTGAGGGGTGCAATTTAAAGTAAAATGTCCAAAGAACGCATTTAGCACAAATTTGGCCTTCCAGGTGATGTGGGACAAAATTTATGTAGCAAAATAAATTATCTGGGGCGTCTTGCCCCAGGCTACCCTACCTAGATTTTAGGAAATTGCAGGGGTACCTCCAAGGAATCCCTAAAACAGTTTGCCAAACTAGGGGATAGGAATCTAAATACTGAATCAATCAAGAAATGGAATCTCTCATCAGCCTTAAGTATAAGAAGAGCATACATATAGGGTAACTATGGGGAAAACGCACCCCTCCCCTAAAAAATCGTATTTCTTATCGACGGATAGGTGTTTTATCCTGTCTTTCAGAACAGTCAGCTGCTTGTTTACGTAGGTCTCTATTTCCGGTTCTGAGTCTTGAGGAGCAGCGTGGGTAGGTGCTGATGTTGGTTTTGGGTGTTGTTTTTGTTGTTTTTACAGAAGATTCCTAATATTTTGATGCCCTCTTTATATCACAAAACTTGCTATTGTGCACATCACTCAAAACTGCGTTTTATTGTCATTCTGTTGAATATATTATGCTGCGGCGTTAGTGGCGCGTTTTTTGTAAATATTTTGTTGACCGGAAATGGAGTGGATGGGGCAAGACGCCTACTCGATGCATGGGGCAAGACGCCCCCAGTTTTCTGAAAGGGGGGCGTTTTGCACGGTGGTGAGAGTGCAGGGTAGCGCCCTGTAGGTCGGGGCCGAAAAGGCCTCTCCCTGTCCTTTTTTGCTGATATATCCTAAACGACTGCAGATATCGTCACCAAACTTTCAGGACTCCTCCGGGCATCCATTTTACACATTGCAACAAAATTTTATTCCAAAGGCTATGATAGGTTGGCCACAAATGACGTCAGAATGACGTCAAGTTCTGCCATGTTCATCATTTTCTGTTGATAGATGGGGTGGGGGCGCTTTGCACATGGGTGTGGGCGTATTACCCAGGGTATGGGGCAAAACGCCCTTTTGCAAGGGTATGCGAAAACCTTTTTGGGGGGTTAAATACCTCACGCAGGTGTCTTTTCTTGGTCTCAAAACGTAGTAAAAAGAATGAGCTACATGATGGTGCCCAAAGGTTTAAGTAATCTGTGTTGGGTTGAGTGTCAGAAGGTTTCGCGCTTAACCCTCGCCCGCACATGCCATTTTCCCATCCTAGAACGCACATGGGGGGGGGTGGTTGCCACCCCCCCCCCCGCGCCATTTCGTTCCTGTTGGAGATAGAGCTTAGCAGTAAAGACCAAAAAGATTATTTGGGAAGAGACAAATCCAATGATACCCAGTTTTACCTTCTCAGGTCAGTCATTGACCTTCCAGGTCAGGTCAAACTAAAAAATGTTGCTGTTTTGGGTCACCGTTGGATATCAAGTGCGCTGCTTATCAAATACCGATGACGATGCTGTTTTCTGGTGCCAAGCCAGCTAGAACCTCTTTGTCACACTATCCGACCAGAATTTTGCTGCTGAGGTCATTTCAGGTCAAGCTAGGTCAAGGTCAATTATATGTGTTTGTATGTCTGTGTGTGTCTGTGTGTATACTGATGTGTGCACCGATTGTTTTTGTGTCCATATCACATGAAATCATGATCTGAGAAGCTTTTACCAAAAATGCAGTCAAAAAAACTTCACAAAAAGTAAATTCAGCTGGCCTAAAACGCAATTATCTTAGATGACCTAGGTTGACCTTGACCCTGACCTTGACCCCTGTACATCGTCGAACAACATGTTCCATGATAGGTGGGAGGCAAGACTGGCAAAAAAGGCCGAAATCAGGGTGTCAAAAGCTCACAAGGCCCATGGCAAACGCAAGATGTTGAGAATTGGCCATTTGGGTCATGACATGACCTGAAAAACAAGGTCATATCTCCGAAACCAAAAATCACAGAAACTTGAAATTTTCAGTGGACATCAAGAAAGGATAGACGAGCAGCTATACGAAAAATCAGCCTTCTAGCTCTAAAAATGTTGAGTGCAGAGCAGAAAGACTGCCTGGGGGGGGGGGGTGGCAACCCCCCCCCCCCCCCATGTGCGGGCGAGGGTTAAGGGGGGCGTTTTTGACCTATTCACCCTACCGTTTTAGAGGCATCACTTTGCATTTGAAAAGAGCGGGAACATACACTGCATAAATGTTGTTTAGCCCTCTCGTGACTGTACGCTTCGTATTTAAACAGTCGCTTGTCTTGATTTGTCTATTTACAATCGGAAGATAATCAGACACGTTATAGATAAGTGTACGGCACGGGGCTATCGCATTGAAGAACGGAAAAACTGCAATCCTAGGGGTGATTACATACTTAGGGCCGAATGACTAATAATTAAACAGAGTTGTACCAAACGTTACAATAATTAATCATATTTTACCACCATACTTTTGGGCTGTTATCTGATACACAATAATTACCTTGGTTTCTACTAATTTAATCTAAATTCTATTTCGCTACTAAGTTGGGGCTACTAATATATAACAATTCTTCCCCCATGTTTAACGTAGTTAAACACTCACTATTCTACACAGGACCCTCGCGTTCAGTTTATGTACAAGTTCATCCGCTGCACTGGTGCGCGCGGTCGTGATGAACGGCGGAGTGGAGCCTGCGGTGGCAGCTCCACCGAGTCTCGCCGCGCGCCTGCAGTGGCCTGGGCAGGCTGCTCCTCGGCGTCTCGCGTCTGCTCCTCGGCGTCTCGCGTCTGCTCCTCGGTAGCTGCGTCCGCCTCTGCTGTCTCGGTGTCGGTCGGGGCGGTGTCCGTGGCGACCTCCTGGGCCGGCGTAGCAGCCGGCTGCGCCCTGGCAGGAGACTCGGCCGCCGCGCTGCTGACTGGTCGCGGCACGATCACTGGCCCCTTGGGCTCTCGTGGCACTCTGTGAGTGAGATCGCTCGGCACTTCAGCACACGACCGATCAGTCTCCCTTGCACCATCACGGCGGATATGGTTGAAATGCCGCCGAAACACTCGTCCATCGTCGACACGCACATCTCCGCTCATCGCCTCGAGTCCTATGATTGTGCCTTTGCACCATCGCCCCGTTGTGCCCTCTATCTCTGATACATATACCCTCTCCCCCACAGTCAGTTCAGGTGCCGCTCGGGTCCTCGGCTCTCTGTTGCCTCTCCACCCTTCCTGCTTCTCCTGTATGTCTCGACGCAGGTCAGGTCGGAGGAGGTCCAAGTGTGAGGAGAGCATCCTGTTCATCAAGAGCTCACACGGCGCTCTACCGGTGGTGGAGTGCGGCCTTACCCTGTAGGCCAACAGAAATCTCGCAAGCCGCGTGCTCAGCGGCCCACCTCCGTCTTTGGCTAGCGCCGCCTTCACCACTTTAACGGCAGCTTCAGCCTGGCCGTTTGAAGCGGGGTGGCGTGGAGGCGACAGCATGTGCCGGATTCCATTCCGGGACAGGAATTCGGTGAATTGCTCACCGGTGAACGCCGAGGCGTTATCAGAGACCAGCACTGCTGGCAGCCCATGAGTGGCAAACGACTGCCGCAGCTTTTCGATCGTTACCGCTGCTGATGTGGTTGTGGTGACGTGGACGTCAATCCACTTTGAGTATGCGTCCACCACTATCAGCAGCATGCGTCCCTCCACTGGGCCAGCGTAATCTATGTGGATTCGCTCCCACGGCCGGCTTGGGAAACTCCAGGGTGACATTGGCACCTCTTTTTGGCGCGGCCTGTGCTGCTGGCAGCTTTCACAGCCTGCCACCAGTTGCTCGATCTGCGCGTCGAGTCCTGGCCACCAGAGGTAGCCTCGAGCCAGCCTTTTCATGCTGCACACTCCGGGGTGTCCTGCGTGCAGCACGTTCAGGAGCATGGTCCGCCCTTTCGGCGGCACCACCACTCTGCTACCCCACAGGAGACAGCCATTCTGCAGACTGAGCTCCTCTCGCCTCGAGAAGTAAGGTGCCATCGTCTCAGGTACCTTGTCTGGCCAACCAAACTGGACATACCGAATCACGGAAGAAATGACTGGATCTTTGGCCGACCACTCCCTAATCTGGGCCGCTTTAGCACCCATGTGCTCTACTGTCTCTATCATGTGGATGACATCCCCTGGCTGAGCTACGGCTTCCACCGGCCCGCCCAGAGGCAGACGACTCAGGGCGTCACTGTTTGCTTGTTTGGTCGCCGGTGAATACTCCAGCCTGTACTGGTAGGCGAGCAGTGTTACCCTCCACCGCGCCACTCGCGGTGAGACCACGGTTGGCAGGGGCTTTGACGGGCTCAGCAGGCCCAGGAGCGGTTTGTGGTCCGTCTTGATGACCACCGGTCTACCGTAGACAAAGTTGTGGAACTTGGTCATAGCAAAGACTATTGCCAGACCCTCGCGGTCTATCTGGCTATAGTTCTTTTCTGCTGGGCTGAGTGTGCGAGAAGTGAAGTACACAGGCCTCTCTACTCCGTCCTTATCCACCTGAGACAGCACAGCGCCCACACCATACGGACTAGCATCTGCGCTGACCACGCACGGTTTGTCGACATCATAATGGGCCAAGCATGGCGCTTTACAGAGCAGCTCTTTGGTTCTTTGGAATGCAGCAGCCTGAGCCTCACCCCACTCCCATGGCACACCCTTTTTCAGCAGCGCATACAAAGGTGCTGCTGTTGTGGCCACACTATCCAAGAATCTGTTATAGTACAGCAGCAGTCCCAGATAGCTTTTTAGCTCAGTCACATTTGTGGGCTCAGGTGCATCCAGCACTGCTTTTGTTTTCTCAGCTGTGGGTTCGATGCCATTTTGACTGACCTTGTACCCCAGGTATGTCACTGTGGGCGACATCCAGGTACACTTGTCTCTGTTGACCTGGAGACCCATTTCCTCCAGTCGTCTCAGCACCTCCTCCAAATTTCTCAGGTGCTCTTCCTCTGTGGCGCCTGTTATGCAGATGTCATCTAAAAAGACAGCCACATGAGGGATCCCAGCCAGTGTTGTCTCCATGAGACGCTGAAAGAGTGCTGGAGCTGAGGAGATCCCATACACCAGTCTTTTAGCTGCGTACAGACCCCTGTGGGTGTTGATTGTGGTGTACTGCTGACTCTGCTCGTCAATGGGCACCTGCAGATAGGCAGCCTTGAGGTCCAGGATTGAAAAAGATTGCCCCCCTGAGAGTTTTGTCAGCAGCTCATCCACCCTCGGCAGTGGGTACTGGTCGAGGCAGATCGCTTTGTTCACCGTCAGGTCATAGCTGCCACAGATTCTCACAGACTTTTGGTCTGATTTTAGGATTGTGACTGTTGGAGCTGCCCACTGTGCCGTGTGCACTGGCACCAGCACTCCGGCTTCCACCTGTTTGTCCAGCTCCTCATCAACCAGAGCTCTGAGAGCTAGTGGGACTGGCCGGGCTGGAAAAAACTTTGGTGGTACATCAGGTTTCACCACCAGTGACACCTCAGCTTTGCAGCCCTGAGGCTGGGGTTTGAATACCTCTCCATGCTTTTCCAGCACCGATTCGAGAGACGGCCCCTGACTGACCATGAAGAGCTCATGCCAGTTCAATCGGATTTGGCACAGCCAATCCCTACCCATGAGAGTGGGACATCCGTGACTGCCCTCCACTACCACCAGTGGCAGCACCTCTGTTTGCCCGTGGTAGGCCACCTTCACGTACACCTGTCCAATGACTGTGAGTGGAGTCCCCCCATAAGCACACAGATCAGGTTTCTCACCCAGTTTTGGGAGCTCTGATTCACCATAGAGGGAGACAAACACATCACGGGCCATGACAGAGCATGACGCCCCTGTGTCCACCTGCATGGACACTTGCACCCCATTCACAGACACACTCACAACAACAGGTTTAGTTTTGTGATCACTGCTGCCTACTTCATGCACATGATACATGCCATAAGGTCCCTGCTGCCCTACAGAGTTTACAGACTCACTTATCTGGTCAGATACATTGTTCACGAGCTTTGTACGGCACATTTTAGACACATGTCCGACCTTACCACATTTGCCGCAGGTCACCTTGTCTTTCAGGTAGCAGTCTCTCGCATAATGCCCTTGCTTTCCACAGCGGTAGCATTCGCCTTTTAGCTTACCCCTGTCTGCCCTTTGGGGCTGACGAGATGCACCTGGTCCTCGTCTGTTGTGTTCGGTGCCCTCCTGTGCCCGTGCACCTCCTGCTCCTTGTCGGTGCCGGACCAAGTTGACGTCTGCCTCCAGTGCAGCTGGCTGCCCAGTCATGGCCTTTGCTTGCACACGGCACCTTTCGAAACTTGAACACCATGTTACCAAATTGTCAACAGTCAGGTCCATCTCACTTTTCTGGAGCAGCCTTTGCTTCAGTTCCATATCGCGACAACCTGATATCACCCGATCACAGATGTGACCATCAAGCTCAGCAGGTGCAAAGCCACAACGACTTGCCTGCACTCTCAGCCGGGATATGAACTCTTCCATAGTCTCTTGCCCTTGGTTCATCTCATGGAAGAGATATCTTTCATATACTCTGTTTGTTTTTGGCTTAAAATACCTTTTTAGCCTTTGACATGCTGTAGTGACCGACGTCGCTATCTCCTTCTCGTGCCGCACCGCCTGCCCAGTCAGAGCCTCGTGTCCCTTCACCAAAGACTGTATTCACCTTCTCAAGCAGTCCCTTTTATGCCCTCTGTCCACGTCCGCAAAACCCGTCACGCAGTCACCACTATAGAAGACAACACAACTGTGGCGCACAACAAAACTGAATCGTCTCTTCCAAGGCCGCGGATAACGCAGTCACTAAATCACTGCCGTATCCGATACTACATATCCCCTCCCTTAAGGAATCCCCACGGTTACATGACACACAGGTGTACTTTACCCCGGACTATAACGGTCCGGCGCGTAACGACGCCGACCGCGGGCCGAGGGCTGCAGCTCGCGATCCGTCCGCCGCGCCGACCTCCGGGGTGACCCCGAAGCGACGTCGCTCGCCCCCGAGCAGTCGGGCCGGCCCTCCACCGACGGCGACGACCGGCGGCCAGTCGGCGATCGAGCCGCACTTCGCCGGGTCCGTCCCGTAGTCGGCGTCGACGTGACGTCCGTCGGCTCCGGCGTCGCCGGCCCGGGACCGGCCCCGGGCGGCGCCGCCCGGTCCGCACGGGGCGGCGAGCACCGTGGAGGCGAGACCGGCGGCGGCTCCGAGCCAGTGCCCGGCCGCGCCGCCAGGGGCGCGCTCAGCGGCGACGGCGCGTCAGAGCCGACTTGTCCGGCCTCCGACCGCACCGCAGGGGGCGCGCCCGGCGCGCCGGTCGGAGATTCCCCATCTGGAGCTCGTTGTCCGGTGTCTGGAACGCGCGCCAGGTGTGCGGAGTTCCACCTTGTGCCGTTCTCCAGCTCGAACGTGCCAGCGGCCACTTGCCGCGTCACCTTGAGCGGCTCTGAGAACTTGCGGTCGTCCTTCCTGATGTGTCCCGGTATCTTCACACGCACCACGTCTCCAACCTGGATCCGGGTTGGGCGGACGGCCTGCCGGCTGTTGTAGTTGCGGCGGTTCCGCCGCTGTTGCCGTTCAACCCTCCGGTGAACTTCTCGGTCGGGTGAAGCAGGTTGGCCGATGACTGGTAGGTCGAGCCGCATCACCCGGCCGTGTAGCAACTCAGACGGCGCCCTGCCGGTCGTGCAGTGTGGGGTGGCCCGGTACCTCGCCAGCTGCAGCTGGAGGTACTGCTGCAGCGACACTTCGCTCTGGTTAACAGCAGCCACGAACCAGGTCTTCAGCGTCCGGTTGAACCGTTCCACTGCGCCATTTCCTCGGGGCCAGTAGACGGAAGACCGTCGATGCTCGATGTTCCGCTCCTTGAGGTAGGTACGGAACTGGTTGCTGGTGAATTGGGTGCCGTTATCTGTCACGATAACGTCCGGATATCCCTCCCGGGACCAGACAGACGACAAGATGCGGATGATGTCCGATGTCGTTACCGTCGACGTGAGACCCACTTCAACCCACTTGCTTCCGTAATCGGTCAACGTCACAGCGAACCGCGCGTGTGCTGGCGCTCCGGGCAGCGGTCCGACGACGTCCAGTCCCAGCTGGGACCACGGCTTGTCCGGGTAGGGTACTGGTTGCAGCGGCGTCTTCCTCACCGCCTGGCTGAGGACCTTGTCGCTGGCCTGGCAGCGGTCGCAGGCGCCCACCAGGGCCGCCACGTCCCTATCCATCCCTGGCCACCACGAGAGGCTGCGCAGCAACTGCTTGGTGCGTACGACCCCATCATGGGCCCGATGGGCTGCTGACAAGTACTCCGCTCGCAGTGCGCTGGGCACTATCACCCGATCCGGTCCTCGGAGGATGACGTCATCAGTGCGAACTTGCAGTTCGTGACGAACAGCGAAGTACGGCTTCACCTCCGGCGTGCAGCGCTTCGCCGAGTCCGGCCAGCCTCTGGCGATGACGTCCCTCAACTGCTGCAGGACAGGATCCGTCTTCGACTCCATTCGCACCTTCTCTTCGGTGAGGACGGCTTCTCCTGCGGCTGCCTCTGCATAGACGAGCGCCACGACGTCCTCGCCCGAGTCGTCCTCCGACGGTCCGGGGCAGCTGAGCGGCAATCGAGACAGGGCGTCTGCCACGGGGACGCTCCCCGTGCTCCCAGCGGTGTAGACAACCTCGTAGGCGAACGGCTGCAGACGCGCCTGCCACCTGGCGATCCTCGCTCCGGCTCTGCCGGAAAACTTCGGCGAGAGCAGGGTGGTCAGTGCGGAATGGTCGGTCCGCAGGGTGAAGAATCTCCCCCACAGGTAGAGCTTCCACCTCTCGATGGCCTGGACGGCGCTGAGGGCCTCACGCTCAGACACTGAGTAGCGCTGCTCGGTGTCTGTGAAGCTCCTCGACCAGTACGAAACTGGGTGCTCCGTGCCGTCCGGATGCACCTGAGCCAGCACCGCCCCGGCGCCCCGGTCAGAGGCGTCCGACGTCACGATGATCGGCAGTGCAGACTGGAACGGCTGCAGGATCGGACGACTGGTGATCAGCCTCTTCACCGTCTGGAAACTCTCTTCAACTTCTTCAGACCAGGTGAACTTCACGTTCTTCCGCAGCATACAGGCGAGAGGCCGAACGACGTCAGCGTAGGCTGGGATGAACTTGGCAAACCAACCGGCGAGGCCCATGAAGCTCCGCAGCTCCTGCACGCCCGTGGGCCTCGGCGCGTCCCTCACCGCCTGCACCGTGGAGTCTGACGGAGTGATGCCACTTGCTGTCATCCGGTGACCACAGAAGTCCACTTCTGCAGAGGAGAACACCGATTTCTCCATGTTGATGGTGACGTTTGCAGCTCTCAGTCGGTCCAGCACCTTCCGTAGACGCTCGTCATGCTGTCTTCGGGTCTTCCCAGAGACGAGGATGTCGTCCATGTAATGGCCACATCCAGGGATGCCATCCAACAGGTCATCCAGCAGCTTCTGGCAGGCTGAACCAGCTGACACCAGTCCGAACGGAACCCTTCGGAACCGCATCAGCCCATCATGAGTGATAAAGGCGGTGATGTCCCTGCTGCTCTCCTGGAGGTTCAGCTGGTGGTACGCAGAGCGCAGATCTAGCTTCGAGTAGATGACACCCTGAAGACGGCTTTGCAGCTCCTCGATGGTCGGCAGAGGGTGTACCTCGGGAACAATCTGGGAGTTGGGACCACGTAGGTCCACGCAGAGGCGAATCTTCCCATCTGGCTTGCGAGACACCACCAGAGGGCTCACCCACTGGGATGCATCGATCCTCTCGATCACCCCAGCCCTGAGAAGACGCTGCAACTCTTGGGAGACCTCTTCCCTGACGGCGAGTGGCAGCCTGCGCAGCCGGTACGCAGTCGGCACAGCATCTGGGCGAAGGACGATGCGGTGCTCGTACCCGGTGATGGCTGGCAGCTCCGCTTCTGCAGTCACACTGTCCACAGAACAAGAGGCGGGGTGCAGGGTCAGGCCACTGTGGCTCTGGATGGACAGACCCAGGGCTTGCATGAGGTCAAGTCCCATCAACCTCTCTGACGATTTCGTCTCCACCAGGTAGAAGGACACTTCCGCAACTGCATCACCATGCTGAACTCTCACTGGCAGAGTGCCAACAACCTTGAGCGGGGTCTTGCCAAACCCGAACAGCTTTGCATCACTGGGGTTGTACCTGCAGCCCTTGAACATGGCACGCGCAACATCAAGGCTCAGGATTGAACATGTTGCCCCAGTATCCACTTGCAACTCAACTTCGTGGCACTTCTCTCCTACAGATAGAGTCACTGGGCACTTTACTTTACTGAGGTTCTGTGCTTGGCATGCTAACACAAAGGCTTCTTTGACCATACCTCTGCTCTTCGGACGTTGTGAAGGTCTGCGGCTGGACTGGGCTGCTGTGGCACCTGCTGCGCGGTCCGGACACATGACCGCGAAGTGTCCCCTCTTCCCACAAACTCGGCACTCGGCACGCCGAGCTGGGCACTGGAGAGATGCAGCATTATGGTCAGTACGGCCACAGCTTCCACACTTTTTCTGGTTCGGACCCTTGGGTGGCTTGCTTGGGGACACTTTGGCAACAGACTGAGACACATCGGGATGGTTCATCATCATGTGCGACTCATGAATTGAACGCTCAAAGGCTTCTGCAGTAGTCAAGACTTTCGCAAGAGTTAGCTCACTATCCTGCAGGAACTTCTCCCGGAGGCGAGAGTGCAACGTTTTCTCCACCACCACGTCCCGAATTAACTCATCTTCCATGGCCCCAAACTTGCAAGTTTTCGCAAGCCCCCGCAACACAGACACATACTCAGCAGTACTTTCTGTGGGCAGCTGTGAACGCTGTCTGAAAGCAAAACGCTCCACAATTACGTTCGCTTTCGACACAAAGAAAGAGTCGAGTTGGCGAATAGCAGCAGCAAACTCGGTCTCACCTTCTACCTTGACGCCCTCAGGCAAGGTGTCAAAAATTCGCTGGCCCTCTTCACCCAACGCAGAAATCAGAAGGGCTCGCGCAACCCTCGGCGAGATAGGTGCACCCTCACCCGCCGCAGCCACCAAGAAAATGTCCGTAAAGTAATCACGCCATTTTTCCCAAGGCTTCGCAGGCTTGCCCGGCAGCGGCAGCGGCAGGGATGGATAGGGACGTGGCGGCCCTGGTGGGCGCCTGCGACCGCTGCCAGGCCAGCGACAAGGTCCTCAGCCAGGCGGTGAGGAAGACGCCGCTGCAACCAGTACCCTACCCGGACAAGCCGTGGTCCCAGCTGGGACTGGACGTCGTCGGACCGCTGCCCGGAGCGCCAGCACACGCGCGGTTCGCTGTGACGTTGACCGATTACGGAAGCAAGTGGGTTGAAGTGGGTCTCACGTCGTAGTTAGGCATGAGCACGGCAAAATCAAGATACTGGCCTTAAAATTAATACCATCTCATCCTCGTCGCCATAATGTAGTGACCGACGTCGCTATCTCCTTCTCGTGCCGCACCGCCTGCCCAGTCAGAGCCTCGTGTCCCTTCACCAAAGACTGTATTCACCTTCTCAAGCAGTCCCTTTTATGCCCTCTGTCCACGTCCGCAAAACCCGTCACGCAGTCACCACTATAGAAGACAACACAACTGTGGCGCACAACAAAACTGAATCGTCTCTTCCAAGGCCGCGGATAACGCAGTCACTAAATCACTGCCGTATCCGATACTACACATGCCTCTTTGTAGCAATCTAGAGTCTCATCAGTTTCTACCACGGCCAGAGTCTCGAACAGATCTTGAATATCCAACCCCAGGATGTGCATTAGCGTGGCCTTTTTCTGCTCTGGGCTAATGATGCCACTAGCTACAAAGTAGTAGTCCAAACCTCGGAGCCACCGATCAAAATCCTCGCCCTTTTTGTACGGCTGAACGTTTGGCACAGTCGCCATTCCTGCGCCACAGTTGTCACCACAGAGGTACTCACGGCGTTTTTTTGTGATTTCTTCGTCACTCAATCCTTGTCGCCAATTGTTTAGCCCTCTCGTGACTGTACGCTTCGTATTTAAACAGTCGCTTGTCTTGATTTGTCTATTTACAATCGGAAGATAATCAGACACGTTATAGATAAGTGTACGGCACGGGGCTATCGCATTGAAGAACCAGGCCCATGTCGTCCCCTATCTCCCTGTGTGTCCAAGTGCACAGATGACGTCACACGAAGGGGTGGAGTCAGGGGCGGAGCCTAGCGCAACGGCCGCCATATTTGAATTTGTTTTATAAGAATGTAATCTATATTTTGGCCTTCAGTCAATTGTTATCGATAGTTTTATGAACGGTTAGCTGTAATGTAAGTGATTTTTAAAGAAAAAACACATATTCTGCTTGCAATTTCGGTTTGAGTCCGACCCGCGCCTAGATTCGAGCGCACGACCTTTGGATCACGGTGCAAGCATCCTAACCACTACACTACCGCGGCGGCGCAGCGGCCGGCGGAAGGGAGGCTGCGGAGGCATGAGGGCTTTTTTACGCATTTTCGGAAAAACTAATGGGTGTAGTGAAAAACCGCTCTTAGATAATTCAAAGAAAAATGTCTCGTCTTTCCGATGAGGCACTTAGTTTTGTGCTAGCTCCAACAGAGTTTGTTCTATAGCGCTTCAAAAATCGCCCATTTACATGGGACTCAAACGGGGCTTCAAGACTTGCCCCCAGATGACGTCACAAGCTGATGTCACGATCAGGTAGAATCGCCGGACGACCCTACCTGGTATATAGGGCCTTGTGAAGAACGGAAAAACTGCAATCCTAGGGGTGATTACATACTTAGGGCCGAATGACTAATAATTAAACAGAGTTGTACCAAACGTTACAATAATTAATCATATTTTACCACCATACTTTTGGGCTGTTATCTGATACACAATAATTACCTTGGTTTCTACTAATTTAATCTAAATTCTATTTCGCTACTAAGTTGGGGCTACTAATATATAACAAATGTGGTTGCAAAACGTTGAGCCGGAATATAAATACCTACGCCTTATTTTATAAGCTTGAACTTGGATCCAGGGGGAGAGAATAAGTCATATCACTCAAGTCATAGACCCGCTTTTCACCACCATGGTCCACGCTCCCTCCCGCCCCCGGTCAACACCTTTTCCACTGCTGGTTTTTCCTGCCCCCCCCCCGCTCAGCAACTTTCGTCGCCGCCCCACCGGCGCGGCGTCCGGGGTTCAGCCCCCCCCCAACCTATTTTGCGATCCTACACCCCTGGGGCCTATGGTTTTGGACCATTCTGGTCCGATTGGTCCAGTCAGAGTGAACGAATCGCCAAAAAACGAAAAACGGCACCTATATAAGTTCTTTACTAATAAGTTCTTTATGGTGAAAGAATTATCCAAATCGGTCTAGTAGTTACTGAGTATGGGCTCGTCTGCCAGTCTTGTCTGCTTTTTAGACACTCCCTTTTGAGGGCCTTGGTGGGCTTCTTCCTCTGCATCTCTGATTGGCCGATTATTATTTTTTGTTGATGCTGCTAGCTGTTCGGTTGTTTCGTACAGGAATTGTCCTTGATGCGCCATAACTGTCCGTTTTAGATTCCAAGATTGGGGAGCACTTGGGGAGAGAGAGAAAAATAACTTTATTTTTTCCTAATTCAAATTGAAATTGTGTGGTGTGACTCAAGGGTTTAATAGCCAGCCAAAGACCGTCGTATATATAGCCTTGGACTCAAGGCAAGTGACTTATCATTATGATTGCTTGGTTGTCAGTTGTCACTCTCGCCATTAGGTACCTACCTATCTGTTAAGTAGAGAATAAATCAAAGTAGGTGCTAACTGCTAATAGATAGGGAGAACCGTCCAAAACGCCCCCTAAAAGTGTCACCTCTTAACTGGTTATTTCGCCATGTGTCAAGTATTTTTGAAGGAAAGGCCCGAAGGGTGCGCCTAAAACTATGTACCGTATCATGAATAGAGCTGGTCGGCCCCCCCCCAACAGGGCACGCGCTAACGTCCTTTTAACTTAGGCTACAAGGGCCCTTTTGACAGGGACCCTTTCAACCCAGTCATCCAAGGGCCCTTTTGACTGCAGACCCCCCTCCCGAGAGAAATCGTGGATATGCCACTGCACATTTTTGCCGCTTACCTTGGAATATTTATGCTGAAATAGAAATTCCAATAAAGCTTTGGCTTCAATATTTATTTCTGTACCAGAGTGGAAAAAATCAATGTTACCATAAGCATGTCTGGCATAATAGGAAAACTGTGTCATAATTTTGACGCTGCACTAATTTTTTTTTCTAAGCCGCCACCCATTATCAGGTGACCAGGAGTGCCCCCTCCCTCTATCCCAGCGACACACAGAACCTCACATTAACACCAGAATAACTTAAAATTTCAAGTCGCGGCACTCCCAGCTAGGAAATGAAATGCAACATAAAAGGCAGAAAAAGAGGGAGTCCAGGGTTAGTATGGATGAATAAGAAGCAAAGTAGTCAACACTGCAAACAGTGGTGACTGCCCTTTACTGAAAGCCCCTCCTCATTCACTCGCTCACATTCGTAACATTCATACATAGAAACCAATAGGAGAAAAAGGCTTGGTCACTGGGGATTTTGCTTTTTTTTAAAGGGGATTGAAAGGGGATTTTTTTTAAAGGGGATTCTGATTTCTTAATTTTGTGCTTTAAGCAGCCCCAAAGTTTTGATGCAGCATCTAGCACAATTCTGTGCACTGAAATTTGGGTGTACTGATAGATGCAGGAATTTTGGGGTAAACTGATGATTTAAGAAATTCTGGCACAAGATGATAAGACACAAACCTAACAAAAGCTAACTTCACTTGCTCCACCCTGCAGTCTGCATTTGGCCAAACTTCAGATTAAAGGGACCCTCCCACCTTCAAAAAAGTTAATGAATTGGCATGAAAGTGATGTCACTCGGTTTAGAAAGAGCAAAAACAAATATCTACCAAATTTCATCGAAAAATATTCACTGGTTTTCAAGATATTAGACTTTTACTTTTGTTTACTTTTTGGGATCTCCGCTGTTCCTAGCGACTTTATTTGAAAGTGCGGCATTTGTTGCGCGCAAAGCAGCATATACCACCGCGTGCTACAAAACGTTTTAGTCAAACATTTCCCGGACGTTCGAAAGCCTGATGACGTCATCAGATTCCCGTAATGGTTAAGAGATAGGGACCACGCTGGTCCCACCCTGCAAGTAAAGGGAAGAAATTTCTTGAACACCATAAAGCTGCGGCGGTTGCGACCAGGATAAATGGTGGTTTCTGAGCCTGGCCGCAAACTTGGCTATCTCAACTCAAAACTAATGTTAAGGTGGGAGGGTCCCTTTAAGCATTGGTACCTACTTTTGAAAAAGCAGTTACATGGTTTGGTTTATCTTTTTAGTTCTTCATTTCAAACTTTTTGATTATGCCCTGTTCTGTGAAAGGAATTCCATTAGTTCATAGATCCAGCATCTTCCTAACCAATACCTAACAAGATGCTGCAATCTGCATCCTAACTTAACATGCGCAAGCCATAATAAATAATGGCAATTAAAACTGATTAGAGTAAGATTGTCTTCAGGTTGAGGCGGGGGACAGCCAACGCGGGAAGCATTTCAGTCAATTTTGTATAAACACACTCGCAAGTCATAACTCAAAATGATACCAGCTGATTTTCATACTTCTCTCACAATAAAATTACCAATATGTATGTACATTTTTTGTGTTACCTGTATGTACATTTCTAAGTATTCACAGGGATCCTGACATGGATCGATCGTTAGCAGTGTTACATAAGTAGCGTAGGTAATGCTAGGACGGAACCATCCGGTGCTGTCACCGAGAAGTAGAACCGGCCGGCGGCGGCGCGTTCCGGCGAGATATTTTTTACTTATATGTGCCTATTTACTCATGAAGACAAAGCTACAAACTTATTGCTACTTCTCTTGTTGCAGACTCATAATGGATGGTGTACCAGTGAAAATAAGTGAAATGTGTCGTCCTCCGACAAAGGTTCATCTACCAGCTCCTCTCCGTGCTCTGCCACCATCAGAGCTGCCTGCCCAACCAGTAAGCCTTCTTATTAACTCGCAATTGGTTGGATTGCTGACGTGACGCATTGAATTGGATTGTTGCTGGATTGTTGGATGGATTGGATGGATTGCATTGAATTGTTGCTGATGTGACAGGTCTGAGGCAGGGAGTTTTCGTGGATGAGTGCCTGGGACGGCGCAGCTATGACTAAATGTTCGAATGTTTTAGTCATAGTTTAGAATGTTTTAGTCAATGTTCGTAACGAATTTAATCACAGGTCGTTTATGATTAATTCGCGCTCGTGCTGGGCACAGGATTGAGCAACGAATTGAAGTTACTGAATCTGTTAATGTTTGTGACCCACAGCCTACGATCAGTGTGAATGTCGCGAGAAAATCGTTCCCAGGATAGGATCTGTCTTTTCTTTTTGGCACCGACGTCGGCATTTCACTTTTATCACGCGACTTGGTAGTAACTCGTACCTAGCTATCTTTAGTAGACCGTACATGTCTCTACCGCCACAGGACAGCCTCTTTCAATTTAGGGAGAAATTTTTATCAATGTCGAAATGCCCTCAAGTGTCGAACTTTCCCTTGAACGTTCGTTGTAGCTGATGTGGCAGACCCTATCGTATCCTGTCAGATTACGGAACAGACACAGGAGACATGAAGCACTTCTTGCTCTTCCGTCCTGTCCTATGTTGAATTGTAAATGATATAAGCTATATATGATAAGAAGCTAACATAGTGCTGCAGCAACCGTACATTGAAGACACCGATAAAGTCGCCGACAATTTCCTATTCGATAATGACAATTTCCAGACAATGGAGGAGAAGAATGCTTATTTCAATATTGAAGTGTAGAAATGAACAATGAGTGCTAATCCAAACAAAAACTAAAAAGGACCGATGAAACAGAAGACGACCCAAAATAATGGAGTGGTGTTGTAAAGCCAGAACCCCGAGAAAATTCTGATCTGATCCTTGGGAACGATTTTTTCATGACGTTTAAACTGATCGTTGACTGCGGGTCACAAACACTGACGGATTCAATGACTTCGATTCGTTGCTCAATCCTGACAGCGTCCAGCACGAGCGCGAATTTAATCACAAACGACATATTGCAATTAAAATCGTGCCACCCACCTTTCTTGGTAGCTTGCGTTATGATAAGGCCCCGGCCAATTGCGAGAGTTACATATACAACTGTCAGTTGTTGAGATATTGACTGGTAGTTGCAGCCATATAACATTACTAATGCTTTTTTTGTTTCGAATAAATCCACATATTGGCTTTATATTGCACCTTGCTATTTGTATACAGCGTTTTACAGCGATTATCGATGTTATGTAATTACATGGTCAATTCAGCTCTCATGTGATTAGCTGTTAATCGGTCCTTCACCTCTGTATGGATTGTAGAAACATTCGTCATGATTTCCAATTCCAAATCCTTAGATTTTTTGTAGTACTCAGCCATACCCTTGGTTCTCCATTTATTTTGTTCCAGATAACATTCGAGCTGGAGACCAAAGCTCTGCATTGGGTGCAGGAGCGCAGGCGCAACCTGTTGTCGGAGCGTGCCGGTCGGACGGAGCGGCTGCACCTGAAGGAGCAGGCCCAGAAGCGTCGGCGGGAGGAGCAGGCCCGGCGACTGGCCGAGGAGCAGGAACAGCGGCGGCGCCAGGAGGAGGAGCAGCTGCGCCGCGAGGAGCAGGAGCGGCTGGAGGAGTTTCGCCGCAAAAAGCAGCAGGCCAACACAGCCGAGTCCACGGAGGCGACAGCGTCCGGGAGCGACACAGCTTCGGCCGCTGCCGCCGCGCCCGCTGATGCTATAACAGCCAACTCAACTGCCAATGCCAGCACCACCACCAATGCCAACGCCACTGCCACCGCACCTGCGGCGGCCCCTTCGCCTCCCCCAGTCGCGGCTGATGCTCCCGCCACTGTCACAAACCACGTAGCTTCGACGGACCCCGAGACCGCCGTCGATCCCGCTCCAGCTCTTGCGAACGCCGCCGTCGATCCGAGCCACTCCCACCACAGCCGAGCGCCAGGCCTGGACGCGAGCAGCTCGGCCGCCGCTCCCGTCGGCCGTCCGGCCGCTACGCCTCAGACCGACGCACGTCCCTCGCCCACCGTTATCTCCTCCAACCCGTTCAACCCGTTCGCGGGTGCGGCGGCGGCCATGCTGCAGCCGCAGACCTGGCGACACCAGCAGGCCGCCGGCGCGTCAGCCCAGCGTCCGGTATCGTTCAACTACCGCGACTTCGAGAGCCAGGCGAGCGACCCGTTCGACAGCGCTGAACTGAAGACCATCAACGACATGGAAGAGCTAGCCAGTGTGTTCCGGCCGCCGGCAGCCGCGGCGACCTCCCAGCCCCGGCTCGAGTACCCGGGTCAGCAGTCTCAGCAGACGCGGCCGGCGGCCGGCACCCACAGCCATCAGTACCACGCGCCGGCCGCGGCAGCCGCCAGCGCCGGCGGTTACAGCTTCTCCGGCGCCTACTCGCCGTACCCGAGCGCGGCCTACAGTCGACCGGCGTACAGCGGCGCTCCGGCCAAGCCGGCGGTGGTCGAGACGCCCCCGTACCGGTACCCGGGCGGCGGGTACGTACCCCCGGCGCCAGCGGCGCGGCCCAACTCACTGGCGGCCGAGGCGCCGGTGCCCGCACCGCCACAGCCCGATGCGCGCCAGCTGCAAGAGTTTTACGCGCGCTACTACGGGCCGCCGGCCGGCGCCGGAGCTCGACTCCGCAGCAGTAGGAGCGAACCGGACCTGAGCGAACCGACGGCAGCGGCGGCCGACGCCGGTCCGGACTCGGACGGCGGAGCGGCGCGGCGCACCAAGTCGCACACACCGCCGCCGGCCCCGAGCTCCGGCGGCGCGCCACCGACGCAGGTGAGAGGATGGGATTTTATCGGACTACTGTGACTTCTGATGCATTTTACTTTTTAATTATTAAAAAAGATGGCAAAGATACTTGGAAGATTTTGACTTTGTCCATTCTTTGCTGAGCCTAGCTGAAATCTCGCTCACCGAATTCTGATCAGCAGAAGCCCGGCCGGTCTGATTCCTAGCCTAGCATTATGCCCGATAATGACAAAGTCTGTAGGCGTTTGTGCCTGGTAGATGGATAGTAACTGCTGGTGTTTTGCGTCGTATGCGCTGCAGTGCCGAGGCAGCTCCGGTTTGATAGATGTCGCTACTGCAGCCTGCAGTCCGCTCCTGTTCCTGTTGCTGACTGACGGGTGTGCTGTACTGCAGGAGTGGCCCTGGCAGCGGCCGGAGCGGCCCGCCGAGCCGGCCCCTGACCCGCTGCACGGCCTGGAGCCGGCGGTGCGCGCTCGGCTCCAGGAGCTGGCGCAGATGGGATTCCCGCTCGACCGACTCCGGAGGCTGCACACCCAGTTTGACGGAGACGAAAAACAGGTGAGACCAGTCGTCAACAGCGTTCATTAGCTCGATTATTATGCTGTTTAACGCAACCTTAGCCCAAGCTGCCATTTTTATAGCACAGAACACATGAATCCAAATAACACGGTTATGAGTGTCATGCATGGTTAGACGGTGTCGTCACGATGTGGGGCTGCGACATAGTGTCTGACCGCGTGGTGATATCTGTGGCAGATGATCGAGTTCTGTCTGTCGGCTCAGCGTCTGGAGGAGGCGGGCCACGCGCCGCTGGCGGCCGAGCGCGGCCTGCTCGAGTGTGACGGCGACCTGGGCCGGGCGGCCGACTTCCTCAGCTCGCTCACTCAGCTCACCGGTCTGGGCTTCCCCGAGCAGCGGGCCGCTGACGCGCTGCGCCGCTGCGACATGAATCGGGACCGGGCGCTGGACATGCTCGTGCAGCGCTGACGGCGCGGTGGTGTCGCTGCCCCGGTATGCTCCGCCGGCCGCCGTGTGACAGCGGCAGCCGCCGGACAGGGAGCGCAGAGGACACGGTGCCTGCGACCGGGCTCCGTCGGCTGGTCCAGGGATCAAGCACCGACCGCTGGCTGATAATGTGGCTGTGTAGCCACCGCCATCTGCAGCACGGCGTGAGAAACCTGCAGGTGGCTCGGCTGGGCGCTGAGCTCTCAGTGATCGCCGACAGAGGGCTTTCCAGCGGAGCTAGGTAAGCTGAGCCGTTTAGAGCGTCCGCCTACGGCCGTGGGCCTCAGCTAGCTGCGGTGTACGAAGAGCTTCAGCTGTCTCCGGGCGTACGGGAAGTATTCTTGGTGCGTGAACCATGTGCACTGTGAGTCGTGACACCGTCATCTTATCGTGAGTCGTGAGTCGGTCGCGAGTGGTGGCTGTGATGTCCGTAATCGTCAGATCTGTAGCGTCGTCACTCGTCGGCGTGCCACGTCTGGCCCGCTCTGTCCTGCTCTAGGCTAGCGGGGGACGAGCGGCACACCGCCTGTCCACCCCCGCTGCTCGGTCAATTCCACCCACATTCCAGGCAAGTTTGGTTCAGAAACGCTGCTCATTTTTGCTTTGAACCATGTTTAGCAAAAATATCCACTCATTTGTGATAAGTGGCGGTGGGTGATGGACGACCAGACGTCAAATAGCGTAAAATACTGCTAAGAAAATGGTGCTATTTTATGTACCGGCCGCTGTTTTAGTTTATGTGTACCGTGGGCGGCTGTAGCTGTAACCATTTGGATCTGTGCGCGCTCGTTCAGTTCTTGTGCGTCTGCTGGCGGCGGGCGGTGTTCCGCGCCCCGACGGGCCGTTCAGGGAGGGTTGGGTGCCCCGCCTACCGACCCAGGGAGCGGTGGGTGCCCCCGCCTACCGACCCAGGGAGCGGTGGGTGCCCCGCTTACCGACCCAGGGAGCGGTGGGTGCCCCCGCCTACCGACCCAGGGAGCGGTGGGAGCCCCGCCTACCGACCCAAGGAGCGGTGGGTGCCCCGCCTACCGACCCAGGGAGCGGTGGTTGCCCCGCCTACTGGAGACGGCCGTTATAACGACCTCTATGTGGTCTTCGCCTGCCTGCGTCATATATCATGTAAGAGCTAAGAAGTATGCGTAATATACCTGTATCCGAATATCAGCCAAGTGATATATTCCCGGCAGCATTAGTAAGAAGACCGACTTACACCGGAATCGTTTAGGAGTCACATCCGAATCGCCCTGCGGGTAGATAATGAATGTCCGAAGCCGTTCGGTGGTACTCCTAGCCGTTTGATTCAGAGGTTAACCCGCGCATGACTGGGGGGGGGGGGGGGGGGGCTCTACGGAGCCCCGTTCCAGTTTTTCGGCAATATCTCCCAAACCGTTTGACGGATCAACACGAAACTTGCGGTACTCTCAGCGGCATAAATTTGACATCTTGTGTTAAACTTTCTAGCTACCATAGTTTGGCCGGAAATGACGTCAGAGTGACGTCATGTCGGCCGAGTTTGATGCAAAATATTGAACCAGTATAACGCCTTTTGGGGGCGACTAACGGAGCGAGCGAGCGAGAGGGCGGGCCTTGCACGTGCGAAATTGCGAGGGGGTACCTCCAACTGACTTGTGCACGGCACGCTACTAACCGGTCTCTAGCGATGTGCCAAATTTGGGCACAATCGGCCCAGCCGTTCTCGAGATCTGGAAGCGGCACCCTGCACGTGCGCACGTGCAAAATGGGTCCCAACTGACTTGTGCACGGCACCCTACTAACCGGTCCCTAACTGTGTACCAAATTTGAGCGCAATCGGTCAAGCCGTTCTCGAGATCTGGAAACGACCCCTGCACGTGCGCACGTGCAGCAGCACCCCAACTCTGGCACATGGATATGCAGTGCCTAGTGGGTGCCTACCTACATGCCAACTTTCAGCGCAATCAGCCAAGTAGTTACCGAGATATTGCAACAATTACAAAACTGACACCTCTTCGTTTTGCACGTGGCACGTGCATAAGGGGTCACCCACATGCATCGGGAATAGTCCAATACTTGGTAGAAGGAATGAAGCTACCCTACAAAATTTACCGCATGTAAATCGGTCAAGTGGTTGCTGAGATATAAGCCTCGCAAAACCGTGACCACGGCCGGCCCCAGCCGGCCGGCCGCTCATACTCAGAAATTTCCGTTAATCTAAGGAAAGACTACGCTCGCTTCGCTCGCTCCGTAATTATGGCAAACGCTCTCAAGAGCTTAGTTTTAAAGCTAGATCCAATTTATTTGCATCAGTTGACTACAAATACACTTAGCTATCAAACTGCTATCTCGAATTTTCGATTTTTTTTTGAAAAACATGTTTTTTACAATTACAAAAAATATATTTTCTGATTCAGTTTTTAATTTTTCACAATAACCGGAATATATACATATATGATTGAATACATACTGATGAACTACTCTAGCAAATTGAGCCCAATATCTTCAAAAATAGCCAAGTTATTTGCATTATTGTCAAAATTTTACAACAATATGTTTTTCAAAACCACTTTTTTGTACGTTTTTGACATCGCACATCAATATAAATGACACCATCGTGTTCCTGAGCTCAAACTGCATCTGACAGGCACCTTTTTTGTTGAAAAATTTCATTTTCAAGATTTGACCTTTTCTGGCCCGAAAGTGACCTGAATTCCGGTAAATTCTGCTGAAAATGACCTCAAATGACACAGACGACATTGTTTTCGAAATCTACGAGTAAAATGGACCATAAAACATGCGTCACTTGACCGATACATGATATTCAATTTTCGTGACCTAGGATGACCTGGCCTTGACCCGAAAAATTCGAAGTAAAAGTTAGGTGCCCTCAGGATATCTAAGGCATATATCAAGGAGTACGTAAACCAAAAATGAGCCTAATCGGACTTGTCAGCCGGCGGTCAGAGCCATAAATTGTGAACAAGCAAAAATACCGATAATTTTTACTTTGACCTGACCTGTGACGTCACCGTTGACCTTGAGGTCAATGAAAATAGGTTTCTCTCGACAGTTTTTCCAGGGCTATCAGACGCCGTTTGAATTTTCATGATCGGGCCAGTAGTTTCGAAGATAGGAGGCCCCCCCCCCCTCCTATCTTCGGAGGGGGCTCTGGGATCAACAAGTCCTGGACAGCAGCGGACGTCCCGGCCAGCTGGAGAACAGCAGAAATCGTAGCCATCCCCAAGAAAGGCAAGCCGCCGTCAGAGCTGTCCAGTTATCGCCCGATCAGCCTGCTCTCCACCACAAGCAAGCTCGCAGAGCGGATGATCCAGGCCCGGCTGCAGCACTGGCTCGAGACGAAAGGGAAGCTCAACCCCAACCAAGCCGGATTCCGCAGAGGTCGCTCCACCATGGACCAGCTCGGCCGAATATCCCAACAGATATTCGACGCGTTCGAGGAGAAGAATCCCCACCGGGCGGTCATGGTCCTGCTTGACTTCGCGAGAGCCTACGACCGAGTCTGGAGGGCCGCCCTGCTCTGCAAGATGGCTCGGCTGGGAGTCCCCGGCTGTTTCATCAAGTGGCTGGGGGCCTTCCTGTCGGACAGGCGCGCCCGCGGCCGCTGGGGCGCTGCCCGCTCAGACCTCAGGGTCTTCCAGGAGGGCCTCCCCCAGGGCAGCGTGCTGGCGCCGCTCCTATGGCTGGTCTACGTTAATGACATCGACGTAGCAATGCCGGAGCACGTCTCGCGGTCTCTGTTCGCGGACGACGTGGCACTGCTGGCATGCGCCCCCACTGCCAGAGAGTGCGACGCCCTCCTCCAGCCCTGCCTGGACGCGGTGGACACGTGGCTGCGACGCTGGAAAGTCACGCCCAGCGTGACGAAGTGCACCGCCACCCTGTTCACTCTCGACCCAAGAGAGAGCGGAGGGAAGGTCAAGCCGCACCTGACGCTGCGCGGAGAGGAGCTGCCCTACTCCCGCAACCCGACCTTCCTGGGCATCAAGTTTGACCCCCAACTCACCTTCGCGGACCACATCGACGACCTGAAAGCTAAGATGTCCCGACGGAGGCGATGCCTACAGGCACTGGCCGGAAAGACCTGGGGAAGCCACCGCCGAACCATCAGAGCGGCCTACATCGGCTATATCCGGGCCCTATTCGACTACGGCGCCGCCGTCTTCGGGACATACGCCGCCCCGTCGGTAAGAGGACGCCTCGAAGCCGAGCAAAACAAGTGCGCCCGCGTCATCACCGGCTGCCTACGTGCGACCCGGAAGGACGCCCTCCTGGCCGAGGCTGGTCTCCCGACACTCTCGCTTCGGGCCCTACAGCTGGCAGGCACGGAGTACCAGCGTGTAATCCGTCTGCCCCCGAGCGACCCGGGCAAGTCCCTCTTCCGAAAGGAGGTACAGCCGCGCCTCCAACACCGAGCCTACAAGGCATGGCAAAGAACACGCAACGACGCCACCGCCGCGGGAAGACCGCCGCCCAAGCCACCAGACGAGACTGCAGCACTCCCTCACCGACCGTGCCTCAGGAGGGTCGGCAAGTGGCTCGCCGAGGAGGCAGGAATCGAGGAGCTCCCGGTGGAGCCCATGGCGTTCTACAGCTGCGACCCGCCATGGCTGGGCCACCGCGGCGGCACCACCTTCAGGGTAGACCTGCCCGTGGCCACCCGCCGGTCGGACCCGCCTGCAGTCCGCAGGGAAGCTGCCCTGCGAGCCATTGCAGAGCTCCCGCAACCGGATGTTACTATCTGGTCGGACGGCTCGGCTCGCGGCGGGATGGAACAGGGCGGCGCAGGCGCGCTGATCCAGTTTCACCACCTCAACAAAGAAGAAACCGTGCGCGCTCCTGCAGGGGCGGTCTGCTCCAGCTTGAGAGCAGAACTGACCGCCATGCGCGAGGCGCTCGCGGCTGTGGCCGGCCTGGAGGACGGGGAGCTGGCATCGATCAAGTCGGTCCGCCTCCTCACCGACTCAAGGTCTGGGCTACAACTACTCGGCCGCGGCCCAGCTAGCCAGACCATGGCTCTGGCCGCCGAGGTCTGGAGGCTGCTGAACACCCTCGCCGAGAACGGCACCGAGACGGTGCTCCAGTGGGTGCCAGGCCATGCCGGGCTGGACGGCAACGAGACCGCCGACCACCTGGCTGGCGAGGCCACGGCGGGCGACCAAGATAGCGCACCGATTGACCTGTCGAGTGCGCGGGCCGCCGTCACGCGCCATGTCCGGGAGCTGTCGCGACGGAGGACAACCGCTGCCCACCCGCACCCGGACCCCACGCCTGGCCACGACTCCCTGGCGCGCTGGGGGTCGGTGACGCTGTCCCAGCTGAGGACCGGCACATCACCGCTGACCCGCGACACGCTCTACAAGATTGGCCTGGCAGCCAACGACGAATGCCCCGCGTGCGGGGAGCCCGACAGCGTGACGCACCTGCTGACCGATTGTCCGGCCTATGAGGCGGCCCGCCGCCGCCGCTGGGGTGTCGACCTTCGCCTGGTCGACGTCCTCGGCGGCCCGGCGGCGAGGGTCGTCGACTTCATCGAGGGTGTCGGGCGGACCGAGCCGCCGCTCGACCCGCCTGCGCCGCCGCCCCCCTGAGCGGGCTGGCGGCGGGATGCAGAAGAAGAAGAAGAAGAAGAAGAGCCCCCTCCCTCCCAATCACTCGCGTTATGAAAAATACCCCAGTCATGCGCGGGTTAACAAAGCTTTTGGGCGCAGATCTGAATAGCATATCATGGCCCTGTAAGTAGAGTTAGGTGCTGAAAATGACACAAAAAGGTTCGCCCTGACCTTAACCCGCGCATGACTTGGGTGTTTTCCATAAAGCGAGTGACAAGGGCGGGGGGGGGGCTTTGCATAGCCCTACCCTCTCCTATCTCCGAAACTACTGAGTCGACTGTCAAAATTCAAACGGTAGTTGATAGTCCTGAACAAACTGGCGAGCGAAACCTATTTTCATTGACCTGGAGGTCGCCGATGACGTCACAGGTCAGATCAAAGTAAGAATCATCAGCCTTTTTCTTGTTCACAATTTAGGCTCTGGCCGCCGGCTAACACGTCCGATCAGGCTCATTTTTAGGTTTGCACATTCGTTGATGTGTGCCAAGATATCCTGAGGATAACAAACTTGTACTTCGAATTCTTTTTTCAGGTCAAGGCCAGGTCACCCGAGGTCACGGAAATTTTATGTCATGTATCGGTCACGTGACACATGTCGGGCCATGTCCTATGATCCATTTCACTCAAAGATTTCGAAAACAGTACCATCTGAGTCATTTGAGGTCATTTGCCCGGTCCGGTTTCACCAAGTGCGGTAAACTCATTACTCAATTTGGGGTAAAATACCAAACTACCCCACTAAATGACTACAAATATACTACCCCGAAATTAAGTTAACATAACTTGGTGAGATTGGGCCAAGTGCTCAACCTCACCAAGTTAGGTTAACTTAATTTTGGGGTAGTATTTTTGTAGTTACAGAGTGGGGTAGGTAGTTTGGTATTTTACCCCAAATTGAGTTTACCGCACTTGCTGAAACTGGGCCAGCTGATTTAGCTGAGGTCAGGTCACTTTCAGGTAAAAAAGGTCAAATTTTGAAAATGAAATTCTCAACAAAAAATGGGTCAATCAGATGCAGTATGAGCTCAGGAACACGAACGATGGTGCTATTAATATTACTTTACGATGTCAAAACATACTGCAAAATGGATTTGAAAATTCTAGAATTATGAAATTTATACTATAATGCGTAAAACTCAGCCGTTTTTGAAGATATTGAGCTAGGGGAAAGTTGGGTTATATCGGCCAGTAGGTAATATCGGGCAGGCAGTTATCTTCTGAACTCTCCCCCAGGTGCATACGCAAATGGGGGTGACCCCCATTGCGCAATATGGGTGGTGGGGGCCATAGGCGGCGGAACGGGGAGGGCACCGGGGCACCGTGCCGCCCCCCTTGATTTTGGCATTTTAACATTAGGCCTATGGGCGTTGCATGGAAAGAATGGGACCAAAAGTCGGCAGTGCCCCACTCCCCCTTAATTGAAGGTGTTCCGCCGCTACTGGTGTGGGCGATGTCCATCAAGACAGCCCATATTCAGCCCAGACTCAGCCCGGATTCAGCCCATATTCGAGACACCTCAGATCAAGTTGAAACTTGCACACAATAGAGGCTTTGGCATGTACCTAAGTAAGTACCATCCACAGCCTGAGCCGTTCGGTGTCACACCTAGCTGCTTGACCTACAGAGGTCAGCAAAGGTCACGTGGCCCAAATTTGCACAGCAGATTGTGGCCCACCCAGTAGAGCTAAAGCGCTAAAAATGGCACCAATCGGCTCGCCAGCATCTAATCTTACTTTCCTAATACCCATTTGACCCCTCAAGGTCATGCGATGACGTAAGGTCATTTGTGGGCTATGTCGAAAATACATTTGCACAGCAGTTCTCGAGTAGAAGGATTGAACGAATTCCAAATCAAGGCACATAATCAGGTATCCCATAGCCCGTAGTAACTTTATTTAAAAACCGCTTCTCGATATGTGGCCCCGTTTGACCTCGGCAGGGCAAAAGGTACAAATAAAAGACACTCCATACGTCGAATCTGGGCTGAATCCGAGCTGCGACGTATGGAGTGCCGTTTATGTCCTACATTTTGCCCTGCCGAGGTCAAACGGGGTCACATATTGAGAAGCGGTTTTTAAGGAAAGTTACTACGGCCTATGGGAAAGTTACTACGATGATGTGCTTTTATTTGGAATTCGGTCAATCCCTCTACTCGAGAACTGCTGTGCAAATGTATTTTCGACATAGCCTACAAATGACCTTAGGTCATCGCATGACCTTGTGAGGTCAAATAGGTATTGGAAAAGTAAGATTAGATGCTTGCGAGTCGATTGGTGCCATGTTTAGCGCTCTAGCTCTACTGAGTGGGTCACAAGCTGCTGTGCAAATTTGGGCCACGTGGCCTTTGTTGACCTCTGTAGGTCAAACGGCTGGGTGTGACACCGAACGGCTCGGGCTGTGGATTGAACCAGGGCTGCGGAGTCGGAGTCGGAGTCGGAGTCGGAGTCGGTCGGAGTCGACAGTTGTGACCGGAGTCGGAGTCGGAGTCGGAGTCGATTTTAGAAACCCGAGCCAGAGTCGGAGTCGGAGTCACCGAAAATCTGTCGACTCCGCAGCCCTGCTAGGTCTGCGGAGTCGGAGTCGGGAGTTGGAGTCGGTCGGAGTCGACAATTCTGCCCGGAGTCGGAGTCGGAGCTGGTTTTTGAAAGCCGGAGTCGGAGTCGGAGTCGGAGTCGCCGAAAATCCATCGACTCCGCAGCCCTGGATTGAACATGTCAAAGCCTCTATTGTGTGCAGTTTTCAGCTTGATCAGGTGTCCCGAATATGGGCTGAATCTGGACTGAATATGGGCTGTCTTGATGGACATGGGCCGTGGCCGATTATGCCCCTTCATTTTTTTTCGTGAATGTCTCAGAAAGGCCTTGAGCTAGGCGCATGGAATTTGATAATGTGTTTTGTAAGTTGGAACTTGTGCAGCGGCCTAATTTTGTGGAGGCCTTACTGTGCAATCTCACGGCATCGCGAACATAAAGGTGTAGTGGCACCTGGTCCTTTTCCTCCTATGTTGGCTTTATGTTGCCAACATAGGAGGAATGTGTTGATAGGATATGTTGGCTTTAACAACATATGTCTATGACCAGAGGCAACTGCCATTCAAAGCAAAAAATACGTCACATAATCTCAGGCATCATAAATAGTTGTTCGACTGTTCGAGAGTAACAAGACGTTTATTTGGCAAGCTAATGCGAATCATTTGATGCCCTGGACCCTGGTAGTTAGCACTGAAAGTCACAAATGCTTTTTGCTTTTATTGTGAACCATTCGCACAGTCGCCTGACCTAATGGTTTTCTGCTCCCCCGGCCGAAGGGGGGGGGGGGAGGTGTACGACTCCCCTCGCCGTTTCGCCCCTAATGAAGCCTAATAGAGCGTGGAAATCCATGAGCCCAGTGGGGCGCCGGTGACTAATATGGTTTGATTATTTTGGACGTCCTTTCGAACGTCTCAACTGCTTATCGCTATGCGGCTCAGGATCCAAGTTACAGGTAAGGGTGGGGGGGGGGGGGGGTCCTTCTCTTTACAGCTATGCGTCACGATCGGGCTACCAAGTACCATGTACCGCTCCGGTAGTGTGCCACCTTTGAAAGATTTCCCATTTTATTTTTCCTAGGATAAGAAGCTTCTGTTTTTACCTAATATCGCAAAAAAATCAAAAATGGGCCTGGAATAGTGCCTTTTTCGCCTAAAAGTTTTTCGGTTTTTAGATATGTATAACAACTGTAGTGGGCTCACCTGCAAACAGGCGTCGGGCAACAATCGCGAATGCGGCGCACTTGTGACAATAAGCAAAGGTCATTATAGTGTTACGACCATACGACGTACGGGAATGAGTTATCAGCTGTCTAATCGTAGACAACACAATGTCGAGCCTTAAACTGTAAGCCCGTATTGGTATTGTTTCTTTTATTTGGCTGTCGAACATTATTTATGGTTTGAAATATGATTTTATGTAAAATAATTGATATGAAAAAGCCGTCTTATAAGTTATGACCCCATTTCACCACACGCAAGTGGCAGAAATGACAATGATCAGCTGACGCATTTTTCTTGGCCGAAGTCAGAGCGCGCGGCCCGACGCACCACGCGTATTTGGAAATTCCGACCTTGACGAGCATCAGAATCCACCTAACAGGCGTGTTCGAAACCGCAGGAGATGATGATGAACGGGTTTATCGAAACTTGATTGGATGAGCATATCGGTAATAGCGATTTCAGTGTGTGCATTTATTGTTCATAGTGGTGTGAAATGTGGTTGGGGTTATTGGGGTACGACCGACAACCCGTCGGGGCGAATTTCGCACTGGGGTACTCAAAATTTGAAGAATTTAAGACGTTTCCATGAGTTTTGAAGGTATGGATAAGTTCTAAAAATCCGGTTCTCCTTATCTGGGCCATTAACTCCATACGGTCCAAGAAAGCTGGCACACTACCTTTAAAGGGACCCTCCCACCTTCAAAAAAGTTAATGAATTGGCATGAAAGTGATGTCGCTCGGTTCAGAAAGAGTGAAAACGAGTATCTACCAAATTTCATCGAAAATATCCACCGGTTTTCAAGATATTAGACTATTAGTTTTGTTTACTTTTTGGAATCTCCGCTGTTGCTAGCGAATTTATTTGAAAGTGCGGCACTTGTTGCGCGCAAAGCAGCATATACCACCGCGTGCTACAAAACGTTTTAGTCAAACATTTAAAAATCGTTAGATATCTGCGCTGACGTCACACATTCAGAGGGGTATTCCCATGCATTAGCCCCTCTGAATCAAAATGCTGCAATTTTGAAATTCAATATTTCCGATTTAAGGCATTTCTCGATGTTGTGAGTGCCGAAACCGGTAATTGTGAGCCAGGGACCCCATTTTGGCTATCTCAACTCAAATCTAATGTTAAGGTGGGAGGGTCCCTTTAAGTGTTATTTCCGGGAGAAGACAAGAAGAGGTCCGAGGAGTTTAAATTTGCGGTGTCTGGAGAAAAGAAAACGAGACCCCAATTTCATTGGTTCGCGCAGCTTTCATAATGATGAGAGCAGCAGTATGCCGCCTCGATCAGTGTCGAGCTGTCGGCCGGAGAGGGAGGGGACGGGTGCGGACGAGTCGTCTGAGACGGCCAGTTTCTCCAGGCACCCGCCAGGTGGCTGACTGGACTCCCAGTCCTGCGCCCGCGCCGGGGAGCGCGCCGGCGGAGCTCCTCAGTCATGAAGCTCGCTACGGTGACGGCGGTGCTGGTGGCGGCACTGGCGGTGGCCGCCGGCCCCTCGGATGCCGTCAGGGCCCGCCGGCGTCATCGGCACGGACTCACGCGCCATCGCCGCTATGGGTAAGATCTTGTGGCCGCATTGAGTTACCGCAGTTGTTAGCAAGCAAGTCGTCGCGTCGTGGCTATCAGCTCCCTGACGAATCTCTCATTTTGTTGTGACATTTCGATGAGGCATGAGAAGTGAAGAATTGTGGGTGGGTGTGATTTATGCCCGTGCACCAGGGACAATAAGATTGTGACCGTCCGAGCCAGAAGTGGCGGAACACCTTCAATTAAGGGGGGGGGGGGGGGGGCACTCCCGACTTTTGGTCCCATTCTTTCCATGCAACGCCCATAGGGCTAATGTTAAAATGCCAAAATCAAAGGGGGGCACGGTGCCCCGGTGCCCTCCCCGTTCCGCCGCCTATGGTCCGAGCCCGTGCCCCTACCCTGTCTCTGAAAAAGTTGGCCAATGACCGTTCTCCCACTCAAACTGTTGAGTAGGATTGCCTAAACATAAGGCTGAAATATTTATGAACCCTGATACTAGGTACTCTCAAAAGTCTTCAAGCTTGCCCATTGCCCAATTCCGAAGCCTAACATACTCGATCAAGTCACCAATCATTATCTTGTATAATTCACGCACAAGATATTCACGTACGTGAGAACTGAGAGGGCACAGTCTTTCTATTTTTGCGTCTATTGTCGACTGCTCTGCTCTGCTCTGAATGTTTGCGTCTGACAATACGCAACTATCGAGCGAGCTGCAAGCTGTTAGATTGTGTAGTGACATGTGACAGGCGGCAACAGTTGCATGACGACGCTCATCCAGCCAAAGTCGAACGGAAAACTTAACCATTTATCTCTGTGTTCTGATGGATACGTCAAGGCGATCTTGGACGCATGCGGAGGCCGGAGGCCAATGCCCTATAGCTAAAAACGAGCTTTTTCAAATAAAAAATCACTTCTATATGCATTTCTGTGCTTTTAAAATACCTAAACCTTTCCTAAAAGGTAATAGTTTCAATGTCAAGTTTAATTTTTGTTCGAGAAATGTAATTTATATCGATACCGGACGATCCAGCCTTCGGGGGAGATGTGGATGATCAAGAGCCCAAAATCCCACCCGGATCAGGTATGGATCCGCCAGTGCCGGAGTGACGCTTGTAAGTTGTATTGCAATTGTTGGTGTTAACTTAGCTGCTTACAATCAGTGGGATACGCCTATGGACGATGCATGGAAAGAATCGATAAATTTTTATGGTTTGCCCCCCCAAACCTCTGAGCTGGATCCGCCTCTGCTTACAATTCCGCCTTGTAAGTTCTAGAAGTCAAAACTTTTAACAAAAGTGCCCACAACAAGGGGAAAGTAATTTATTTTCGGCAGATTTATTTCTGTTTCTATGACAGCTTTGTGTGGCATTAATAAAAAAAAAAAACGGATGCTTTGCCTTCGCACATAAAATATAAGACGCAGAAGTGCAGTATGCGTCTTATATAAGGTATGCCTACCAAAGCTCGACTATAGTGATAGTCGCTCAATTTGTTATCACTGAATAAAAATTGTATTTATTTTCAAGTTTTTTGTTCGTTCATCATTCTGTCGTGCGGTCGTGAACAGTGTGTTACGTCTAATTACCTACTTCAAAACAGCTCAATGCACTGTACTCGTCAACTCCCTCCCCCGCCCCGGCCCTCGTCACTTCCACCTCGGCTCCGGGGCCACGAACACTGGCGGGAATGTTTCGAAGTGCCCTAGAATCAATCGCTGGGGGGGGGGGGCTGCATCGACGTCCCCTGGCAGACGACGTCTTCAAAAATGTCTGGCCTGGCGCTCCTTCGCTTATGGGTCATTGCATTTGACCTAAGCCCAACGGTTTGACATTCGGACGACGGTCAAAATTGGCGTTTATTGGTAAAAAAGTTTAAGTTTTATGAAGTAATATCAACAATACAAAGCTTCCAAACTTTGTAAAGCTTTCTGAATGCATGAAGCGATCGTAAAATGATCGTCTTTTCTGTACGAGACTTGTCAAATGCTTTGTCAGGAAGTGACCGTGATTGATCAACTGACAGTTCAAGTCAAGGAACTAAAAGACTTAGACATTATTCTACATGATACGGTTGCCGAGGGCAACTGCGCTTGCTGTGGGCCGTTGTTTTGAACTTCGGTCAAACGTCAATTCGGAGCCCAGCCCATCGCTCGGCTGTATACTGGCTCGAGACAGGTCGGGTACTCAACTACACGTGTGCACATCAATTGTTCGCATGCAAATCTCAGGAGCAGTTTGAAAAATCGCGCTGAATTAGTTTCGCCCTTGATCATGACCATTTAGATAAATTCCAAGCACCGCTTTGTATGTCACTTTGCATGTCGCTCGCGCACCGACCACTTCATTGCCTCAGAAATGAGTTCACCCATCGCGACCAAAAATGGTTCGGTACACTGATACCACCCCGTTATAGTCAGTTGACATTAACAAGTCAATAAGGGCTGACTCAGCTCGTGCGCACGTGCTCATCCGGGATCTATCCCGAGAGCGTTGGACCATTGTGTTCAAATGTGATGTGCCGGTATTGGTCGATATCGGTGGTTGATGTATAATTCTTCACTCTGTTTGTTATAGGTACGTCTGCAGATATACGGTTAGGTAAAAGGGACATGCTCATTGGTCACCTTTTGATGGAAAATGAAGTTGATGAAGTAATGTTTTGTCAATGAACTGAACTCTATCACTGGAACATCCAATAACAGTGTATAGATGAGAAACACAATTAGCTGTCCTCTGGATATATTTCACCATGAGGTACGTGAAGTTATGGACACCAGATGGGGACTGGGTCACATTTTCGGATTTTTTCGTTTTTTACTAACTAACGGCAGACTTTTTAGGGGACACTTAGAGACCGTTGCTGCACGCCATGCCAAGAATTGACAGTGTCCCTCCTTACAATCGGGATAATTGCACATGCTAAAGGAATCACAACTATGCAGAATGGCGCCATGAGGTTGAATCGAGTAGCCCATGCTCTGGTAGCCATCTGAGTGGCCAGGAGGCTGGTCGGTGACGGTGCCGCCGGCCGCGGCGGGCGACCCTGCAGCCGGCGACCACCGCCCGTCGCTGCCGCTTCGATAAACATGGCCTCCAGGCCTGGCCAATATCGGAAACGTCAGCCGACTCTGACCGAACTGGGCCAGCGGCCGGCACGCGGCCGTCTCGTCGCGCCGCTCCACGCGCCGCCGTGCGCCCTGTGTTTATACGCTGCCGGCGCCGCCGCTCCCTACCGCCGCCGGATCGTCACCGGGAGGCAGACGTACCGCGCAGGGCCCGCCGTGTGACGCCGTACCAGGACACAGACGGCAGGAGCCGACCGGCGCGGAGTAGCGCATACCGTGAAATTAATTTAAGTTAGGATGTCTAGGTCGTTCTGCGTGATCAAAAAGTCCATGGTGCGTAGTTCGATAAGATCAGGCATAGACCTCTGTAGTCTGTGTACAGAGGTCTATGGATCAGGTCATTCATAGACCTTTTTCATTCATTCGTAGACCATTCATAGACCTCATAGAGGTCTATGGGTCATTCGATTTTTAGCTTAATTGATTACATGTTGATAACCTAAGTCGGATTGACAGGGGGAGAAGGGGGAGAGGACAACACCAGCCAAATGTGGCCAAAACAACTAATGGCAGGTTGTCGATTTCCGTCTGTCCACTGCAATATACGCCGTGTCAAAACTCGGGCTTTCCGGATGGTTATCAGGTAACTATGTAGGTATGACTGCAGGTCCTAAACGGGACCATGGACCCCATGGGCTTGTTGCGGACGACTGTAATTAATTTCAGCATCGCTGGAAGAATTCCTTATGAAAATTGAAATGTTCTTCGGCATGATCGATTTTACAACCACTCAATCTTTGAGTTGTGCAGTCACGAAATTATCCCAGAAGCACCCACTCTGAATTCTGGCTATACGTCATCGAGAGAAGATCCACAACTCTCACTTGAGTGTCTCGTTATACGACGCTACCATCAACGGATCGCTATTCGCTTTGGCCTTCGACTGTCTCATTTGGCCTGAGGCGCTATCTTTCCGTAAAGCATGCGCGTCCCTTGCAGACGCACGATGTTTATGAAACTGCGTCCTTGATGGCTGATCGATTCATCGAAAAAATAGTTTATGAATGATTCGTCACTTGATGACCTCAGATCTTTCCTCATCTAAGGCATGCCGAGCATGATGATTGATGAGTGATGACGATAATTCTAATTACAGTGATCATTAGGGACACTTCCATGACACAGGCTTGGACCGAGCCATTTGATCCATTCAAAACATTCAGACTGAATTTATAAACAAAGAGCCGAGTGGCGGTGACGGCGTAGCGAGGTCGACTACGGCTAAGGGGGGGGGGGGAGGGGTGAAGGGAGGACACCATAGAGAGAATTCGGTCGATCTGCGATCGTCAGCAGATCTATATCAAATAGGTATTATGTATGTTTTCTCAAGTAGGCACACCTACAATACAGATCACTGACCACTAACCTCCCTTTTCGCAGACCAAACGTGTGTGGAGGATCTCGGCAAGAGCCACAATGCTGCCCGGGCTGGACCGAAAAGCCGGGCACCGGCATGTGCCTACAGCGTGAGTACCTACATCCCCGTCCCGTCTACGCGCGCACGACGTTTTTTCAACGAGAGTATGACTGCTTGACAGGGGTAAATTGGAAAGTAAAATATCTAGGAATGCCAGAAACATCTGTTGAGCTTAATTCAATTCCCTGGCGTTCACAATGTTGTGCTAGGCATAGATATCTTATATGTATTATATCTCTATGGTGCTAAGTGCTGATAAAAACTGAAGCATACCTGTCTTTTGCAAAGTACCGATTTAAGCCCAGTGTCTTATCGATTAAAACTGTTGTAGCCATCTATGTATGTATTTAGTTACACTGATAGGACAAAGGTGACAGCGATATACTAAAAAACATCAATGCAATTTTAACCCGGCGGCCGCTGGGCCTCCGCGCCACCCGCCGGCCGCTGGGGGGCATATAGTTGCCCCCCCCCCTTTACTTCTGCGACGATATCGTCGCAACGCGAAGAGATAGAGGAGCGAAACTTTGCACACATCTTCCTGAATACCTAGCCGAGATTGTGTCCAAATTTGGTGTCGATCCCATTTGAAATGACGTCACAGTGACGTCATAAGTGAAATTATACATTTGCGACTCTCATATTCCTCACGATACATCAGATATAGGTATGGGACCGAATATAAAGGGTCGGTTATTGGTCAGAAACTAGATTGAAGTGTAGTTAGATGTTTTAGGATGACAGCAAGTGCTGTCTAGTTCATTTACAGTTGAGTTTCATGCTCAGCGTCATCAGAAACGGTCCATATCGGAAAACGACAAAACTTTATGACGTCACTGTGACGTCATCTTAGGTGCTACAACCACCAAACTTTCCTCAAACATTGCCTAGGTATTCATTTGAAGCTATGCCAAGTTTCACGTTCGTAGCTCATCAGGTTTCGGAGATATTTCACAAAAAGTAAAGGGGGGCAACTTTATGCCCCCCAGCGGCTCGTGGGTTAACGTATAACGCCTTTTGGGGCGACTAACGGAGCGAGCGAGAGGGTGGGCCTTGCACGTGCGAAATTGCGAAGGGGTACCTCCAACTGACTTGTGCACGGCACCCTTCTAACCGGTCTCTAGCGATGTGCCAAATTTGAGCACAATCGGCCCAGCCGTTATCGAGATCTGGAAGCGGCACCCTGCACCTGCGCACGTGCAAAATGGGTCCCAACTGACTTGTGCACGGCACCCTACTAACCGGTCCCTAACTGTGTACCAAATTTGAGCGCAATCGGTCGAGCCGTTCTCGAGATCTGGAAACGACCCCTGCACGTGCGCACGTGCAGCAGCACCCCAACTCTGGCACATGGATATGCATTGCCTAGTGGGTGCCTACCTACATGCCAACTTTCAGCGCAATCGGCCAAGTAGTTACCGAGATATTGCAACAATTACAAAACTGACACCTCTTCGTTTTGCACGTGGCACGTGCATAAGGGTTCACCCAAATGCATCGGGAATAGTCTAATGCTTGGTAGAAGGAATGGAGCTACCCTACAAAAATTACCGCATGTAAATCGGTCAAGTGGTTGCTGAGATATAAGCCTTGCAAAAGCGTCCGCACGGCCGGCCGGCCGGCCGCTCATACTCAGAAATTTCCGTCAATCTAAGGAAAGACTACGCTCGCTTCGCTCGCTCCGTAACCACTTATTTTTATTCAGTCGGGGAAGGTCATGAAATGTTATACCCTATACACATTTGTTACTTTCTCAGTTTCAAAAATTAAGTGATTAAAAATTAATAATGGTGTTGTCAATTTTAAATTGGAAATTGTTGGCACGGTCATTCGCAACCATTACCGTTGCGGACTTTCCTTTGGAATTTTTCGCTAGCTAAGCTACCAAACTGGCCCAAACTTCGAGGTGAATCGAGCCAGTTGCCCGTCTAAGCGAACGGCAGATCCGGTAAAATAAACAAGACATATGCTCATGGCCATTGCTACGTCTGTGGCGGGTGGGGCGTGCCCATCATTAATCGCGAGAGTGGTATTTGTCGGTAGAAGGGGAATGATATGTATACTTCAAGAAATAAGTGACCTCTCTATAAATTTTATACTTGTTTTCAAAACCTCGCCGATAGACTTTGAAGTTTGAACAACCGTTTTCCCATAATCCTGGGTCCGAGGGAGGTTTAACTTCAGTTAGGATAACAGTGTCACGAGAAGAACTGCATACCACCAGCTGCCACAACCTCCGCATGAAATGAAACTGGCCTAGCCCAAATAGTGAAAATCATAATGCACGCCTCCCACGTAAATTCCTTTGTTCACAAAAGTAAGATATTAGGTATATTCAACCATCAGAAGCTGCCATATCAACCCCCAATGCGGAAATATTATTATATTAAGTTCTAACGGTCCATTTGCCTATAGTCATTCGTGCGTGCGTGTGCGACTCTGTGCGCGCCTCCCTAGGTCCGTGCACCTGTACAAAGCACCTGTCTCCGCTGATGAATGCGAGGGATAAGGTTCGGCCACCGCCGCTGCGCGCGCGCTGCATATTCATTTGGCCGGCATCCGAGCCGATCTTCGTTCATATGCAAACTAAGAGGTGTCCGGGCGGCGCTACCGAGCGACTCTGGCACTATGCTGGTGGTGCTGGTGCAGCACCACGCGGCTACTGCGGCTCGTGCGTCTCGGTTATAGTGGGTCGCATGTGCGCGCCTGCAATGCTATGAGTTGAAATCAGAAACGAACCGAAACTTACTGAAGCCTGAACTTGTCTGATTTCATAAGGTCTTTTGTTCGTGAAGGTTTTGAATGGACGAATTTACAAAGTCATAGTTTTTCCCAACTAGTGCTAAATATTTCCTGAAAGAACCACACAAGACAGTTTTAAACGTCATCGTTATTAGGTATTTATTCATGTAAATAGAGTGAATAACCTTATGCTCATGTTATATGTTGCAAATTGATATAATTAAAATTAAAATGGAGGACATATCTGACATTATCTGTGAATAACCGAGACGATTGCTTTTAATTATATCAATTTGCAACATATAACATGAGCATAAGGTTATTCACTCTATTTACATTATTAATCATGCTCAGAAATACCATAGCTTACCTCCAAGAGGTATTTATTCATTTTGTCCTCCTTTTTGTCGCACTTGGCGTTTCGCTGGTTAGCCGTTGTGGACGGTTATGTCCTGTGAAACATCTGTCGTACGATTGCTCCTCAAATGGGGGCGTCTGCTGACTCCCGGCAGACCGTGTGTTGGTTCCTGGCAGTCGGCAGACCGTCTATTGGTCCCTGGCAGACCGTCTGGTGTCTACCGGCAGACCGTCTGTTGGCTCCTGGCAGACCTGTTAGCTCCCGGCAGATCTTCCGTTGGTTCCTGGCTGGCAGAAGTTGCTGGCTGACCGTCTGTTGATTCCTGAGGTTCCGTCTGCATTGTCTGCCAGCAAACAGTTTGTTGGTTCCTCGTGGACCCGTCTGTTCGCCCGCTGGTCCATCCTTTGTAGTTAGCTGCACGCCGGTCCGTCCTTTGGTTTTGCGCTATTTTATCGAAATTGTCCCGCAGTTTCAGTAATCAACATGCTTTTTACGGAACATTTTTTCATTCACGAATGTAAGTAAAAAGAAGTCCGTTCTTTGGTTCTCTACGTTATACTTAAATTCTGTCAATTATTGCCAGTCCGCCCGTTGGCTCCTGTCCCGTCGTTACGTTGGCCGGTTCTTGTCGTCTTGTCCGTCCGACCGGCAGCATGCCCGTTGGTTTCTGTCATCTCCTCCGTCGATTCCTGTCGTCACGTCTCTAGCTTCTTGTCGTCACGTCTCTAGCTTCCTGTCGTCACGTCTCTGGCTTCCTGTCGTCTCGCTCGTCGGTCCCGCCGATCCGTCCGTCGGTCCCGCCGATCCGTCCGTCCGTTCGCTCCTCGTCGTCGGCTGTCCGTTGGTTCCGCGCCACGTGCACGGCGCGGGGCGGATCTGCAGCGGGAGGCCACCAGCCAGCGACAGTGAGCAATGACTGGGCGGGGGAGGGTGCCGCGCGCCTCCTCCTCGGCTGTAACCGAGACGGCCCGCTCCGCCACCGCACGCCGCTGCCCGCTCGTTTGTCTTCCCTGGCCGCGCCCGCGCGTGAAGCGGGGGAGCGCTCTGGTGCAGTCGTCACTGCGGCTCGTCTCCAGCCGAGGGGCTATATTTGGGCCGGTTCGGACCAGGTAAACAAGCGAGCCGCACTACAGGTTACCACCGCTGATACCTTGCCGACCAAACATTCGTCCGACTCGGGCTTAGTATTTTTAGGGATAAGTATTTAGTTCGATCTTAATAACCCAATGATCGACAACGGGCAAGCGGATGTTAATTGTCTCCCCGTCTGGATTCACTGACGCGATGTCATGATAGTCTTGGTTTCGTTATTTCCCTGTCCATTTCAGCTGGCTCAAAAACTGCCGCACATTTGATAATGTGCTAGGCATGGTGTACATATGGTAAGGGATCAGGTCGAATCCGAGCAAAAGTGAATCGGCAATCGGCATCGCCTTTAAATTATTTCTACCGATTCACGAGGCCGGTAAATTAATGACGCTTTCATGTGTGCAACTATCTATTGCAACGAGTTGTGGCAAATCCCTACATGTTTTTAGAGTTAATGAAAGGAGCGGAAAGCTTTGAATTTTGTGGTTCGGCACCACGAAAAGGTACAATTATACAATCATTACGTAATATAATAATTGCACCCAGTTACATAAAACTAGCGACACAGGCGTTTTGCTCGACGCCAGACGACTTTTCTCAAGCTAAAAGGTGAGAGGAAATTTAGGCCTGGGCTGCTCATTCAAAGTAGTTCAGCACGCGTGAAAAAGTGAAACGGTTACGTATATGTGTTATGTAGGACGTATGTGTCGGGGCGGATGTGGCGTAACCAGTCGTTAAGCCATCTGTCTATGTACGGTACACAGTCCTCTCCGCACGTCGGCGCGGGATGTGCAACTGCAGAGGTGTCGCAGCAGCACGTGCCGGCCGCCACGGCCACCGGCCGTGTTCCCGGAGTCGCGGGCTGACCCCGACACTCGCAGAACTGCCGGAAGGAAGGAACGGGGTCACCAGTGCGCGTGCCACTGCAAGCAGATACCGCCGCGCCATTGTCACACTGATTAACTGGCATGTCCTACAAACGGGGAGCGGCCGACACCTTAACCCGATATGGGCTCATACCAGAGGCAAAGATGGAGAAGATATGAACAATGAACAAGGCAAGAAGAATACGGACAGAGACAAGGGGAAAGGAAATGTGAAAGGAGATTGCAGGGACTTGGTAACCAAATTTACATTCAACAAAATTATGCAACACAGATAGGTATCTACATTTGTTTGAATAAGTACGTTATACTGAAATTGATAGATACCCTGGCAGGGTGTTTGTAACCCTATCAATCAACAAAATTTAGGCACAATACGAATTATCCTACTTACTGATACAAAATTATATAATTATTCGAACATTAAACCAAAGACAATGGATAACTGTCAAGGCTTATGGTTAGTTACGGTCGATTCCCCTCTTACTTATGCATTTTAAGTATTTATTAGCATGCATTCTTATAGTTCGACATTTTATAGCAGGACATCGCTTTTGCACGGGCAACCGCCGACCGGCAAGGTTGGTGATTTAGTATAATTGTAATTAGGCGGATGGGGAGGGATGACCGATTATTGCTCACTTCTTCATTATAATGTCCGGAAATTTCCGTAAAATTGTAAGCTGCTTCACAGCTACACTGGCAATGGAATGAATTATCCCATTTGATTCATTCAAAGACTTGCGTGCCTTTAGTGAAATATTGCGTTGCTGGCCTGGACCATCTGTGGAGGCGAATCGGTCTGGGTCTGATAGGACAACCTCCCCAAGCGTACGCCGCTGGGCAGGTCGACGCATCGTTGACGTTTTGTTGACCAACCATACGGCAGACGTTTACTATGTGGTTATCAATAAGGCCAAGTCTTTATAACTCGGTTACCAGCAGCTGTATGTGAGCAGTCCCGCTGCCTCTCCCCGACGTGTGCACCGTGAATTGAGCACCGTGTTACCGTCTCTGTTCCAGCCGTGTGCAACCGCCGGTGTGGAAAGGGCCACTGCATCCGACCAAACGTCTGCAACTGCGAACGAGGGAAGGGACTGTCTTCGTCATGCATCTCATCGTCAAGCCAGTATGCCAGCCAGGCAGGTAGGTATCTTGAAGACGAACGAATGCTTGGAGCTGTTTCCATTCCAAGTAACTGGCACGTGGCCAGGCAGAATTCTGCTAGCAATTTGGCTTCCGTTCTTCAGTTAGGAATGTTGATGTAGTGTTCAGTTTTCGTAACTGTGTGACATACTTTTATAGCCCTGCGGACAATTTCGTTTGGTACTAACTACATCGTCCTTCATTTGTTTATGTTGTTTGTTTTCAGCGGAGCAGCGCGTCTCCGCCTGCCAGACCATGTGTCTCAACGGGGGAACGTGTATCGGAGACAAGTGCCTCTGCAGGAATGGCTACAAGGGCGACTACTGCAACGAACGTGAGATAAACTTGGCACTCCCATCCCATAACATCAGTTCAACGATTCGTTCCTCATCCCGGTGTAAAGGCTATAGGTATCAATAAGCCAAAATGAATTATGTGAAAGACATGCCAACTGAATTTCACATTTACGCTGCAACATGCCCTAGTTAAACTAATAATAGGGATAAGTATCTTATAGGTATTTTAGTATTTTTAAAGTCCTCTTAACCAGTATTTTTATTGTGTTTGCACGTATCAGCGAGCTGTGACTGATCGTGTGTTTGTATGTCGCAGCGGTTTGATTGTGTGTTTGCGTGTTTCAGCGGTGTGCACGGAGGCGTGCCTGAACGGCGGACGGTGCATCGGTCCGGACCGGTGTGCCTGCGTGTACGGCTTCACGGGACGTCAGTGCGAGGCCGGTCAGTGTCAGATAGTTAAACATTTCTTCCGTCTTGACCTGTCAGCTAATGGCGTAACCGTCCGCAACCATGAAGCTGATTGAATAGGCGACAACTAGTCATTTTAGCAACTCTTGTGTCTCTCATCTCAATGGGCGATTACTGATGTCTATGACCCAGTCCTATTTGACGAGGCGGTATCGGTGCGTTTTCAGACTACCGGACGGGGCCGTGTTTCACCGAGGTGAACAACGACATGTGTCAGTCTCAGCTGGCCGGTGTGATCTGCACCAAGCAGCTGTGCTGCGCGACCATCGGCAGGGCTTGGGGCCACCCGTGTGAACACTGCCCGGCCACACTGCCTTGCGAGACTGGCTTCCTGAAGAACATCCACAGCGGCGAGTGTGTCGGTCAGTAGCCCATCCACAGCGGTCAGTAGCACATCCACAGCGGTCATTAGCACATCCACAGCGGTCAGTAGCGTATCCACAGTGGTTAGTAGCACATCCGCAGTGGTCAGTAGCGTATCCACAGCGGCGAGTGTGTCGGTCAGTAACGGGCGACGCCCCCCCCCCCCCTCCCCACACACACTCGCTGGCAAAAGCCCCAGTTCTGCCGTCACCCCGCTGTACAGGGACCATGTTGAGGTCCCATTAGAAAGAGCTTCATTCGAACCGGGCTGCTAGGCTGTCGTTCCTATAGATACTACCAGTAAAACGCCTTTTGGGCGAAGAACGAGCGAGCGAGATAGTGAGCCCTGCACGTGCGGAAGGGCGAGAGGGTACTTCCAACGGGCTTGCGCAAAGCATCCTTCTAACCGGTCGCTAGCGGTGTACCAAATTTGAACGCAATCGGCCCAGCCGTTCCTGAGATCTGGAAGCGGCATTCTGCACGTGCGCACGTGCAAACAGGGTCCAAACTGACTTTTGCACGGCACCCTACTAACCGGTCTCCAACCGTGTACCAAATTTGAGCGCAATCGGCCCGGCCGTTCTCGAGATCTGGAAGCGCCCCCTGCACGTGCGCACGTGCAGTAGCACCTTAACCGCAACACATGGGAATGCATTGCCTGGTGGGTGCCTACCTGTATGCCAAGTTTCAGCGAAATCGCCCCAGTAATTACCGAGTTATTAAAATGGGAACAAATTTGACACCTCTTATTGTTGTATTTTGCACGTGCACTGGGGGTGACCCACATGCATCGAGAGTATCCTATTTTTGGTAGAAAGGATGCAGCTACCCTATAAAAATTACCGCAAGTCAATCGCCCAAGCGGCTGCTGAGATATGAGCCTCTCAAAATCACTACTTTTGCAAAACAGCTTGAACACCCTTGACTTTTCACGAGCCACGTGCCACGACGGTCACTGAGATGTATCGAAAGTAGTCAATTACGGGGTAGAAGGGATGGGGCTACCCAGCAAAAAAGACCGCAGGCCAATCGGTCCAGCGGTTGCTGAGATATACGCCTCTCAAAAGCGTTACAGGCCGGGCCGGGCCGGGCCGGGCCGGGCCGCTCATACTGATATTTTTCCGTTATATTGAAAAGACTCGCTTCGCTCGCTGCACTCGCTCGCTCGTAATTAAACCAGGTCCCTGCTGGTTTGAAAGCTCTTTCCACTATAGTGGTTTCCTTCGGATTTAGAAATGCCACTGAAGGGAAGCTGCGTGGCTAGCACTGCCAATGAGACGTGTCCCTTCCGTATTATATGTCGTCCACTGAGGCACACCTTTTTGCCCCTCTCTCGTTCCGGCAGACATTGACGAGTGCCAGGCGATCCCGGGTCTGTGCGAGGGCGGCCAGTGCGTCAACACGCCCGGCTCGTTCCGCTGCGAGTGCCCGGCCGGTCAGGTGCGGTCGGCCACCACCAACCAGTGCGTGGACGCCGACGAGTGCGGCCAGCCGGGCGTCTGTGACAACGGCCGCTGCGTGAACGTGCCGTCCGGCTACTACTGCACCTGCAACCCGGGCTACATCCCCAGCCCCGACAACAAGAGCTGCATGGGTGAGTAATGTACACTACACAGATACATCCCCAGACCCGGGCTGCATCCCCAGCCCCTGGCTACATCCCCAGCCCGGACAACAAGAGCTGCATGGGTGAGTTGCCTGCAACCCGGGCTACATCCCCAGCCCGGACAACAAGAGCTGCATGGGTGAGTTACCCGCGACCCTGCCTACATCCCCAACCCGGGCTACATCCCCAACCCGGGCTGCATCTCCAGCCCGGACGACAAGAGCTGCATGGGTGAGTAATGTACACTGCACAGATACATCCCCAGACCCGGGCTACATCTCCAGCCCCGGACAACAAGAGCTGCATGGGTGAGCTGTCCCCAGATACATCCCCAGACTGAACTACAAGAGCTGCATGGGTAAGATACTGTCCGCCTTCTCGGCTTTGTCCCCAACCCCGGCAGTAAAAGCTGCATGTGTTGCCCCAGTGACATCCCCAGCCCGACCATTAAAGCTGGCCACATCAGAACCGACCGTGGCTGCGTTTATTTGTACTCGCTGTGGCTCCGTCTGCAATAACTGTCTGTGCCGATCATGGCTCTGTCTGTACCGCCCACGGCCACTGCCGCTCCGCCGCGGTTGTCAGCCGACCTCGAGGGGCGTGACCGCGGTGTGCTGACCGACCCGGTGGGTCTGCGCTGCCACAGACACTCGTCAGGGCAGCTGCTACATGGAGTACTCGAACGGCAGGTGCTCGAATCCCTTCCAGCACCTGTTGGCCCGAGTCGACTGCTGCTGTGACGAGCGACTCGGAAAGGCCTGGGGCGTGGACGACTGTCAGCGCTGCCCCATACGCGGCACCAGTAAGTTGTGCGACGAGACGCACTTTTTCGAACTCCTCTCAACAGATCTCCTTATGCGTAATTCCGGAAAGTTTTAAGAGGGATAGTTAAATATATGCATATTTGCATGTTCATTCCTCCCTCAAATAGACCTTTAAATTGTTAATCATGAGGAGGTGCCGTCGTTAAGCCCTTTTCTAAAGGCAAACGACTTGAGTCTAGTTGCAGGTGATAACGAAAAGGCCGTATTGTAGATACATACGTTTAAATGTATCATCGATAAATTTTCGCTGTCCGTGTGCCCACAAGTCAGCGTTTCCGACTGAGCTCGACGGGTAGTCCCGCTGACTGACCTCTGACCTGACCTGTTCCTAGGTGAGCACCGGAGTTTGTGCGCGCAGTCGAGCGTCCTGCGTCTGAACGAGTGCGCCGTTCGGCCGGATATCTGCGGGAACGGCAAATGTGTGGACACGGCCGACTCATTCCGCTGCGAGTGTGACGCCGGCTACCACCTGGCCGATGGCGCCGGCCCGTGCGTAGGTCAGTACCGCCGCTGCAAATACTCAAATATGCCAGCACGGTAATAGAATACCCCGTGGCACAAAGACATCCTTGTTATGCCGTTACCTCGATGAACTATCGAAAGTAGCATTTCAGCGCTAGTAACGCAGCGTTCTAACGGTTTCGTTTTGTGTTTCAGATATCGACGAGTGCGCGGACAGAAACGTGTGCCGCGGCGGTCAGTGTATCAACACGGAGGGTTCGTACCGGTGCCAGTGTCCGGCTGGGTTCGACATGTCCTCCGACCAGCTGCAGTGCATCGGTAAGTCCCGCCGCTAGCCTGTGCTGGCCTGAGGCAACGGTCGGGGTTCGCTGATGGTGGGATCCCTCGACGTCTCACTGAGCTAACTTTGAACCTGATAATTAGTTTCGGTAAATCCTGTTTTCACCCTGCAAACAGATGTGTCTGTCTGGTGCTGTGCGTTCGTTAATCGGTTTATTTTCTCTACTACAGATCACGACGAGTGCCAGACCCGCGGGATGTGCGCCAACGGACGCTGCATCAACATGGATGGCAGCTTCAAGTGCGAGTGCGAGCCTGGCTACCAGCTGTCCCCCACCGGCTTCTCCTGCGTCGGTACGTGACGATCTGACGAGCGTGCACCGTGTACCCGCACAAACGCCTGTCAATATACGCAGTAAAGGTTGCATCAATCGTCATTCACTTCTTGACGCTAAAATGTTGGAGTTTGTCTTATAATCTGTCTCACGAGCTAAACAAAAAAGCAGCAGCCATACAAACACTTTTTACCTTGCCGGCTCTAACCAATTTCTTGCTTAATTGTCTTTTCGTGCATATATCCTCGCAGAACCGTGATACTTTTGTCCTTTTCTAGCTCCTATCAGACTTGTCAGACATCGGTCGAATTATTGCTGATTGGCCTAACCTATGTTCCGCCTCGGCAGACATGGACGAGTGTCTGGAGAACTCGCGGATCTGTCTGAACGGTCGGTGTGTGAACGTGGGCGGCTCGTACCGGTGCGAGTGCGCGCGCGGCTACACCCACTCACTGGACGGCACTTTCTGTACCGACCTGGACGAGTGCCGAGACGGCAACGTCTGCCACAACGGCAAGTGCGCCAACACCGAGGGCGGCTTCCAGTGCCTCTGCCACGCCGGTTTCGTGCTCAGCCGAGACGGAACCACCTGCATCGGTGAGATACTGGGATTATCCCACAGTCGGTCCTTAACGACTATGTTTGCCTGAGAGTGTGTGTCAATTGGAACCGTAAGAACGATATGTTTTATCGGATAGCTTTGCTGATGACAGGGTAGCCGAGTAAATTTTTAGCAGCTGTTCTCAATAAAAATATTATGGAGGAGGAGGTTTTGATTGAATAAGCATTCATAAAAACAAATAGCTCATAATTTTAAGACTATTGCCAGTGTTTATCATTTGAAGAAAAAAAAACATAATCGCTTTCTCACGATTGCTGTGCCCAAATCGTCCATGACTGAGACCGGACGCCGGTTCATGTGTGTCGCCGTGTGCCCGCCAGACATTGACGAGTGCGCGCTGCCGGATACGTGCCGCGGCGGATCCTGCATCAACACCCAGGGAAGCTTCCGCTGCAAGTGCCCGCCGGGCTTTACACTGGGTCTGGACGGCCGCCAGTGTGTGGGTAAGTGGCGGTTCACACTGGGCCAGAATGGCTGCCAGTACTGTGTGAATGAATTTTTACCTGATATTGACCTCGCGGTTAGCTGGGGTGATTTTTTTCTGTTCATTCACCTATCCTCGTCGCCTGTTTCAGACTCTCGTCGGGACTACTGTTTCGCGATGCTGCGGGACGGCCAGTGCCTGAACCCGAGCACCACGCCGGTGACAAAGTCGCAGTGCTGCTGCTGCACCGTGGTCGTCAACCAGCCCATGGGATGGGGCACGCCCTGCCAGCAGTGTCCCGAGCCCGGCACCGACGAGTTCAACCAGCTGTGCCCCTTCGGACCCGGCATGACGCACGAGGGCACCGGTTAGTCAAGCAACTGACAACATGACCCCATGTTCTGATGCCTCGTGAATTTGTATGGCATGGGCACAAAAGCCACAGGACTAATACGGTCCAACCACTCGCCATCCAAAGTTACGACAGTGCTCGACGAAACCTGAGCGTTCAATATGGCCCGATATCGGCTACCTGAGATTGTTGCTTAAAAGTCGAATATGTAGGTACATCGTTACGAATTTATTTGTTATCCTTAATTGCGGTGTATATCGTTGCATTCCTCTTGTTGCGCAATGCGCATTCATTACCACCATTACCTCAATGGCACCTATCATCCCTACAGATATCAACGAGTGCGCTCAGACGCCGGGAATCTGTGCTAACGGCGCGTGTGAGAACCTGGACGGCGCGTACCGGTGTATCTGCAACCCGGGCTACACGGCCGACGCGACGGGCAAGGCGTGCGTGGACCAGGACGAGTGTGCTAGCGACCCGCTTCTCTGTGACGGCGGCCAGTGTCGCAACATCGCCGGCGGCTTCCAGGTCAGTGGCCGCCACAGTCGCCGCTGGGGTGCTGTAATACCTCGAAACAGTCGGGCCTCGAGGACAACCTAATTGACATAACAAATATAATTGCCAATGATATTCGCAATTGACATGAAACATTTGTTTTCTGTTTTACTAGCTGTTTTGACCTGCTAATACGTTCAACTCAGCTTATTAGGATCACTGTTTTTTATGTAGGCAAGAATGTATGCATTACAGTGAGAGCACGTTGCTGATTTAAATCTCGGCGTCTCCGCGCAGTGCATCTGTCCGATGGGCACGGAGCTGAACCCGGCCACCGATCGCTGCGACGACGTCGACGAGTGCGAGCAGCTGGGAGAGGACGCCTGTCTCAACGGGCGCTGTCTCAACACGCCCGCCAGCTTCCAGTGTATTTGTCCCGAGGGCATGGTACTAGACAGCACAAAGCGCGTCTGTGTTGGTAAGTAGCCTCAGTGAATGAAGCATCCACCCAGAATATTAGACGTGATTTATTTCAGGGATTTATTTTATTTGATCTACTTTGTAAGTAGGTTTCACTATTTATCAATATAATGACGCGCCGTTCTCAATGTCCTAACTCGTACGTCGTATCCTTATACGACGCACCGTGGAACCCATGCACCCTAAGTGGGCACACTCGTTCGCTACTACGATACTTTGACGCCCACAGACAACCGGAAGGGCTCGTGCTGGACTCAGGTGCGCAATAACCAGTGCGAGGCCAACCTGCCGGGCGCTCTGCTGAGGTCAGAGTGCTGCTGCTCCGTGGGCCTCGCCTGGGGAAGTCCCTGTGAACTCTGCACGAGGGACGAGTGTCCCTGTGGGGCGGGATACGCCAAGGTAAGGATCCCGGAGGCCGGACCATTCCGATCGGATCCTGGAGGTATGGCCATTCCGATCGGGTGACGGAATTCAGTCTGCCACCGTATTGCGCTGCAAAGTAACTTTCGTAAACTCAGACGCCGGGATGGACAAACACACCTCAGCAAAGTCGTACTTGTTTGTTTTGGAGAGATGACGGAGCCAGGATTAGCGACATGTGGCGACGCTGTTTTTTACATACCAGTGCAAAAACGTGAGAGGCCTCCAGGTCGCATGTTGAAATCGCAGCCGGATTTCCCTGTATGATGAATCAGCAATCATTAGTCGTCTAACATTTTTAGTTTTCGAACGGCATATGCGCAATGCTATTCTAACAGGTTATTATCAAACAGCTGCTGATTCCATTCTCCCCGGCAGCGAGACGGCAAAACGTGCTCGGACATTAACGAGTGCCTGCTCAGTCCGGACATCTGTGAGGGCGGCGGTGTGTGCGTCAACACGGAGGGCTCGTTCACGTGCGAGTGTCCGGCCGGCCTGACGCTCGACTCGTCCGGCACCAAGTGTGTTGACCTGCGTGAGGAGGCATGCCACCTGCGCTACCGTAACGGCCAGTGCAGTCAGGCGCTGGAGGGCACCTACAAGAAGTCTGTCTGCTGCTGCTCGGTCGGCGCCGCCTGGGGCAGCGACAGGTCAGTGCTGAGGCCGGCTCACACAGTAAACACTCATACGATGGCGAAATCAGACATACGATGAGTAATCTCAATCGTTAAACGGAATTAATTTTCGCCCATGCATGCCATCCTCTCCCGAAGACTGAATAGAAGGAACGGACATAGTGCCAACCCTGCCTCATTTTTTATTTCTTTCTTTCTTTCTAAGGCATCGTTTACGTGTTCTTCCCTCAGGTGTGAGCAGTGTCCGCCCCCGGGCTCGAGCGCCTTTGCTGAGCTCTGCCCTAAGGGAGCCGGCTTTATACAGCTGAAGGACATCAACGAATGTACCGAAATAGCCGACATGTGCAAGAACGGCCGCTGCCAGAACACCGTGGGCAGCTACGAGTGCCACTGTAGCTACGGGTTCTCGCTGGACGAGGCCGGCGTCACCTGCAACGGTGAGACCAGTCGGCAGAGGAGTATCTGACCGTTTCTCTTCGGACTGACTCGGGTCTCGATAGCGATGCAATTTACCTGAAACACAAGTTTGCTACTCGTTGTTGAATGGTTTAAGCGCACATTAAAAAATGGTCTAACTGTGCTCAAGAGGTAAATATCGCAGTGTTGATTTTTCCGCTGTCTTCCTCTCAGATATCGATGAGTGCAGCATCATGACCGGCGTTTGCGGCAACGGCACCTGCCAGAATACTCCCGGCGGATTTGTCTGTGATTGTAATGAGGGCTTCGAGTCGACCATGATGATGCAGGTCTGCATGGGTAAGTGCTAAAAAGGGTTATTTTTATTCAACAATTTATAGATACAAATTATTTTGTTAGGCCTATATGTTTCGTCATACTCAAAGAAGGGCTATATTATGTTCGCTTTACCAGCTGAGTTATTCTGTCTAGCGGCTGATTATTCGGTGTCTGTTGCCTTGCAGACATTGACGAGTGCTCTCGCACGCCGGGCCTGTGCCGCGGCGGCACGTGCATCAACACCCCGGGCAGTTTCCGCTGCGAGTGTCCACCAGGGCACCAGGTGGCGCCCAACGGACGCTCCTGCAAAGGTGGGACCGGGGACCTTGTCTCCTGTCACTACTGCTGGTACTTTTGTAGGGCCGTAGCATTTATTGCTGGTTAGTAAGCAACAGACTCAAGTCCAAACGCATTACGGGTGACACGTCCCAAAACAGCTGGATATAATAGCACTTAACATGCCAATTGCCAATGTGCCGTCGTACCGCCAATCCCGATCCGTCCGAACTCAGTGCTGTGTTGCCGTCATAATTTTGTGGACATACGCGACGCGCATTGATTTTGCTTGATCCGACAGATATCGACGAATGCTCGCAAACGTCCGGCATCTGCAGCAACGGCGTGTGTGAAAACATGATGGGCGCATACCAGTGTGTCTGTGACAACGGATATCAGCAGACGTCTCAGGGCGCTCACTGCGAGGGTAAGTACCTAAATGTACCTAGTACCGGTAACTGAGTGATAACAGCTACCAGCAAACGTCACAGGGCGCTCACTGCACGGATAACTAAATAAACACCTGCTACTATACAGTAAGTCTCAGCGCTTAAGCCGTCTCGTTGTTGAAACACAATTGAAATAAATCATTTACGTTTGTTAGACGTTTATCCATTGAACGTTTATTAGACTTTTTCGGGACAATTAGAGCTTGTAGCGTGTTATCTGTCCATTGGGCATCTACTAATAATATTATCATCAGCTTATAGGGAGATCATCTTCAGCTATAAACTATGATCATTTGTAAAATAATTCGCAAGTATAATAAGTGTCTTCTAACAGTTCGTTACTGCCTGCCTCTGACATCAAACTGACCCCTGCTGTGATTTTCCGCAGACCAGGACGAGTGTGGCCAAAACAACGGCGGCTGTGCCCACATCTGCAATAACAACATGGGCAGCTTCTCCTGCTCCTGCCACCCGGGGTAAGCTAAGTGTGCCTGTGCACTGTGCGTGGTGCCTTAGTTTATGTGCGCGTGCGTGCGTGTGCGTGAGCGTGCATACGTTGTCGGGTTTACTCCAGGAACAGAGCCGCGCCCCGTGTCGTTGGTAGTTGAAGGTGTGTGACGCAAATAGAGAATATGTAGGCGACTGTGTATAATTATTTTTGGGCATACAACATTACCTGTATTGTTTCCAGGTATCAGCTACTGGGCGACGGTCGCACGTGCGTCGATGTCGATGAGTGCAAGAAGGGCGACGCCGTCTGCAACGGTGGCAAGTGCATCAACGTGCCAGGCAGCTACCGGTGCACGTGCGAGGGAGGCCTGCAGTACGCAGAGGACGGCGTGGGCTGCGAAGGTGGGTCAGCTGGTGGGCCGATACTTGGTTAATTTATAGGGGAATTGGGTAGCAGGAATATGATGTATAGTTGACTGGCTGCTGAATTTCCGCGTTTTTAAGTTTTAATGCCATAACACGATAAAATAACGCTAAATGTGTGGTTTTAAACCGATACCTGTTAGGTACGTTATTATTTGTTCCCTTACACTTATGTTGACGTTTTTAAACACTCGAAGAAATGACTTATTTTTTTTTGTATCGTCTGCGATTTTAAATTGATACTTAATTATATATATCCCACAACTGAGTAATAAATTTCCCGGTATTTTTACGTCGACCGTCGGTTTGGACTGATGTAGCTGCTCTGTCTCCGTTTCCCCAGACGTGGACGAGTGCGCGATGGACCCGCTGCTCTGCCAGAACGGCAAGTGTGACAACACGCTGGGCTCGTTCGCGTGCCACTGCGACGCCGGCTACCGGGAGCAGGTGCAGCAGGTGGGCGAACAGAGCCGGCCCAGCTGTCAGGACGTGGACGAGTGCTCGGACGGCTCGTGCGACTGCGACATCAACGCTGAGTGCACCAACACGCCGGTACGTGACCACCACAGCGCCCGCTGTCGAACATTTCGTATAAAAATGGCACGGCAGTGTGGCTACTATGCTAGGTCTGTAACTAAGAATCTCGATTTTGCAGTTTCGATCAATTGTTTTAGAAATGAAGGACTGGGAAGTTGAAAAGTGTTTCATTGACATTTCTCCTCCATCTCTCTCTCTCTCTCCGTATCTGTTAATCGTTATTTACTTTTTCAGGGGAGCTATGAATGCACGTGCAAGGAGGGCTTCAGTGGCAATGGCATCACCTGTATGGACGTCAACGAGTGTTTGCTGACCAGCAACGGCGGCTGCTCTCCGGACGCACAGTGCATCAACACGGAGGGGTCGTTCAAGGCACGCACTGATCACTGCAGCACTGGAAAGCGGTCACTATAGTCACTGACCAACGGTCGTAGGTCACTGGTTACTGGTTACTGGTCACTGGTCACCGGTTACTGGTCACTGGTCACCGGGTGATATTCGATGCTTTAGCCGACTGTATTACTTCTAAAATGCCCTCGTCTTTGATCGTAGCGATTGTTTTTTTCTTTCTTTTTTCATATTTCGGATTTTGAGCACTTTCAATGATAACAGCCAGACTTCCCGATTTATCGTCGATTTTATCACTTACTTTTATCATTTTTACGCTTTCTGATACCGGTTGACCTCTGCCTGGCAGTGTGTTTGTGACGTGGGCTTCACCGGCGACGGCAAGACGTGCTCGGACATTGACGAGTGCGCCGACGACCCGAGCCTGTGCGAGAACGGCCACTGCCTCAACTACCCCGGATCGTTCCGGTGCGACTGCGAGATGGGCTTCATGCACCCCGACATGTCCAACGAGATGGCCTGTGTCGGTGAGTGAAACGAACTTGAGAGAGAAAGAAGTAGTGAGTCTTTTTTTGTGGCCTCACATTCAGTTACTGGCCTCGGGAGGAGGGCGGCGGACTAGTTGTACGCTGCGCTTTGGCCATTTTAGGATGGCCAAAGCCATCCTAAAAAAAAAAAAAAACGATGAGTCTTGATTCGCACTTGACGCTGAGACCTAGATAACGACTACGCCCGTTTACATATGCCGAATTTCTGTGGCTGTGAAATCGTACCAGAGATCTCTCTTTGAGAACACGAGCAGCTTGATCACTGGCCTCCTGAAACAATTAACTGGACTTTTTCCTCGTCAGACATCAACGAATGCAGCATGTTCAACAACCTGTGTGTGTTCGGCCGCTGCGAGAACATCTACGGTATGTTCCGGTGCATTTGTGACGAGGGATACCAGCTGGACAAGACCGGCGGCAACTGCACAGACGTCGACGAGTGCGTCAACCCACAGGTCAGTGATCTTCACAAACCGGGACTTCAGTTCGCAGATTAGTGGTTGCTTGATGCACACGGGGCCGATAGGGGCTCATGAGGTTCCACTCATGTTTCGTAATCTGATGCACCTCTCCACTGTTGCCACCCTTTTGCGGCGACACTCAAACTTGTTACGTCATCACGGACCAGAGGGCCGTTTCCGGGGCAATCATTTCGATGGCTTTGATTGCTTTAACACTGGTGACCGATAACATTGGGATGATAGATATCTCATCTGTTTCAGGCCTGCATGTTCGGGACATGTATCAACACGGATGGCGGCTATGTCTGCAAGTGTCCGCCCAATCACGAGCTGATCGAGCAGGGCACCGGATGTGTCGGTCAGTAATATCACCAAGCTAATTAATTCCGATAAAAAATAATAAACAGGCAAATAACTTTAGACTAGTATTCACAGAACGTTAGAACTGATGGTTTGACGTTGGTAAAGTTCTGACAAAGTGCTTTAAAAAGGGACATAATCGCTCTTGGCTCTTCTCCACCGCATATCAGTTCGTCTCCGGGGAGCGATCTATCTCCATCAGCCCAACTAGTGACCTCCGTAAGACGAGCTGGTCTGACTCGCTGTATCTCCCCCCGCCCCCGCAGACCGGCGGCTGGCGCAGTGTTTCGTTGAGGTGGAGGAGATCCGCGGCCGGAACGTGTGCAGCATGATGACGGGTCAGCAGGTGACGCGCGCCACGTGCTGCTGCTCGGTGGGCCGCGCCTGGGGGCCCACCTGCCAGCTGTGCCCGCAGCCCAACACACCCGAGTACGACCAGCTCTGTCCCAACGGTTTCGGCTACCGGCCCAACGAGGTCACGGTGAGGCTGAGGTCACGTCAGAGGTCATCTCGGGCATATTCTGCTGTGGGTGGGAAGGGCAATCGGGCTAATCTGCTAAGTCACCTAGGGTGTAGACTGTAGGACAGTGTAGGTAGGGGATAATTATTTGTGTTATTGACTTACGCTACCGACACTTCCTAATCGCTCGACTTTGTACAGTTTAAAACCTTTTTTGGTTCTTCGCCAGGTGGTGGTGGAAGACATCAACGAGTGTGAGGACATGGAGAACCTGTGCACGAACGGCCGCTGCACCAACACCTTCGGCTCCTTCATGTGCACCTGCTACGACGGCTACCAGCTCAACGAGGAGGGCACCACTTGTGTCGGTGAGTCGTGTGGTAACACAGGAAAAGTCGAAACGGGGAGGCTAGCAGCTGTATAGATGAGCAAAGTGGTAGCTTACGCTGCTGATTTTACCATCGCAGTATTACAATTGCATAAGGACGTGCTAAATTATTACCGGTTAGGTATATTGACAGAGTCTGTTAATATAAAAAGTGAGTCTGCTGTTTTGCTTCCTGCAGATTTGGACGAGTGCGTCGCCCAGCCGGATATCTGCGGCATCGGCGAGTGCTCCAACAACCAGGGCTCGTTCACCTGCATCTGTCCGGCCGGCTTCATGCTGATGCCCAACGGCCGGGACTGCGTGGACATGCGCAAGGAGCCGTGCTACATGCAGATCTCGGAGGGCGTGTGCTCGCAGCCGATGCGCAGTGACGAGACGCGGCTGCAGTGCTGCTGCTCCATGGGCGCCGCCTGGGGACTCGACTGCAAGGCCTGCCCCGCCAAGGAGTCAGGTAATTATCGCGTCTGAATTAGATTCGTGTTCAAACTTCACAGAGGCTATCAGTGCAATGCTTCAATGGATATAGTAGGCTCAAATTAATTTCTCCTGTTTCTCTCAGTCCTCTGCAGGAGAGCAAAGACACCATTCCCGTCAGCGAGGTTAACGTTGGCTCTCAGCCGTCTCCAGGCACTCGCTTTTGTTTGACTCAGGTCGAATGTCTTTGTGTCGCAATTGACGCGCTGATCCTGTTTTTCAGCCGATTATCGAGAGCTGTGCGGCAGCTCGGCGCCGGGACTGTTTGTCGACCCCATGACCGGACTCAAGGAGGAAATCAACGAGTGCGTCATGATGCCCGGCATGTGCAAGCACGGCACGTGCGTCAACACACCGGGCAGCTTCCACTGCGAGTGCAACAGAGGGTACCGATACGACGAGGCGTCCCACACGTGCATAGGTAGGCTCGTGTGGTCACATATTTCGATTTGCCTGGAGCGGTAGGGTCGGTTCCAGTAAGCTGGTGAAGCGACTTGCGAAGTCTTTCATGTACGAGTATCAAACCAGTCGTGTGGTCATGCTGGTGCTGACGAGTGCCTGTAGTCGCCGTACCATATTGTTTGTTTGTGCCCTCAGACCAGGACGAGTGCCTGCAGTCGCCGTACCCGTGTCGCGGTAACGCCCAGTGTGAGAACACGGCCGGCAGTTTCCACTGCACCTGTCCGGCCGGCTACCGGCTGGCCATCAGCGGCCTCGACTGTCTGGACGTCAACGAGTGCGCCGAGCGGCCGTCCGTCTGCAACAACGGACAGTGCAACAACATGCAGGTAATGGGAGCGGAGATCGGCCACCCGCGGGTGTCTGTGGTAGCTCACCGGTCGGTCTGACCTTTACCGATTTAGATTACCCTTGTGCAGCTGTTAATGTTTGGCCTCGCGTTTGCGTTTCCTCATGAAGTTTGTCTATTATTTCAGGGCAGCTTCCAGTGCATTTGCAACGAAGGTTTCACGTTGTCGCCCGCTGGAGATTCGTGTATCGATATTGACGAATGCTCCAGAAACCCGAATATCTGCAACAACGGCGTGTGTATGAACACACTGGGATCGTACAAATGCAGCTGCGACCCCGGCTTCCGACTGTCGAACAATAACGACTGCCAAGGTATGTCTGATGGGTGGAGAATGGCGTGTGTCTCCGTGCCGTCAGACCCTACCAGTGCTATGTGTTTCGGTGCCGACAAACATTGACGTGTTCCGTAGCTATGTGTCTCCCTGCCGTCTGACAGATTGACGAGTGCCGTATGTAGCTGCGCTGTTATACGAGCGCCATGCTTTGTCGCAATCGGACATTGACGTGTCTCCTTATTATTTCCATTTCGTCAGACATTGACGAGTGCCGCACGCGGCTGGACGTGTGCCGTAACGGTCGGTGTCGGAACACGGCCGGTTCATTCAGCTGCGAGTGCGCCGAGGGCTTCACGCTGGCCGAGGACGGTTCCTCGTGCAGGGACGTGAACGAGTGTGTGGAGACGCCCGGCTTCTGCCCGCCGCCGGGCGACTGCCAGAACCGGATCGGAACCGTCCAGTGTCTCTGTCCGGAGGGCTTCAAACTCTCACAGAACGGCACTCTCTGCGAAGGTAGGTGTCCGAAAAGTGGACGAACGATTAACAACGAACCATGCGTTCCTATATACAGAAAAAGTTAATAATTGCGGACTTACATTTTAACTTATGCTCAACACGTTTTCCCTCTTACCACGTACTCGTATACCCAAGGCAAGGTCGGGAAAGTAAAAGCGTAACCAGTACGTTGTATGCACAACGCGGTTCTTCAAGCATAAAATGTAATCGAGTTATTCTTTCATGTATTGGCCCCTAATTTTTAATCAGGGATGTCAGGAGTCTGACAGTCTGTATCGAGGTCGTGCCGAGATCACCGTCTGACACCCCTGCCACGTCGATTCGGCAGACGAGGACGAGTGTGTGGCCGGCGAGCTGTGCGGCGGCGGCCAGTGTCTCAACGAGCCCGGCAGTTTCCGCTGCGTGTGCCCGCCCGGCTTTGAGCTGTCAGCCGACAGCACACTGTGTGAGGACGTGCGCCAGGAGGCGTGCTACGACTCGTGGCAGCAGGGCGTCTGCTCGCGGCGCCGGCCGCTGGTGCAGGGCCGCGCACAGTGCTGCTGCTCGGGCGCCGCCGCCTGGGGAACCAACTGCCAGCCGTGCCCAGAGCCGGGCTCGGCGCAGTTCGCCGAGCTGTGCCCAGGTGAGAGCTCGTGAACTGGATGACATGGGAGGTGCTTGACATGGAAGAGGTCTCAGGCGTGGGCAGTCTGTTTCTGTGAGCCGTTATGATCGTGAGCTGTCTCACTTGTGGGTTGTCTCACCTGTGAGCTTTCTCTCCTGGGAGCTCACAGCTTTCTGATATGCGATTTGTTGTTGGACTATCTGTGAAGTGATCTGTCTGATGGGCGATGGACGTCTGCTCTACGAGCCATTTTGGCGGATAGGACTCTCAATCCTCTGATCTGTTTGTCCTGTGAGCCGTGTTTCATGCGAAAGTTGACCGTCCTCCTCCATCGTTAGGCGGCGCCGGCCGCGGCACGGGTGCCGAGGATCTGAACGAGTGCCAGCTGATGACGGAGCCGTGCGTCCGTGGAGAGTGTATCAACACGGACGGCTCGTTCCGGTGCGCCTGTCCCATGGGATACGTGCTGGACGAGTCCGGACACAACTGCATCGGTCAGTCAGTGAACCAACCAGAAAACAGCTGCTTACCAGCATTGCTAACACTGACTTATAGAACTCGGCACTCATTGGCTTAATTTGAGTTTTTTTTTTATCTGGTTGCAACTGTAATTGCGATTAACATTGTACTATTTTAATTACTTTTTTTTTCGCCGTAGCGGTGTCCGAAAGACGCCTATTTGGGTAATAGCCAACGCCTACCTGATTTGATACCTGTAGACAATCGTCTTTTATCACAGTCAATGCTCTTTTCAACTTTCAGACGAGAACGAGTGCCTCACTCAGCCGGGCATCTGCGGCAACGGAACGTGCAGTAACACGGAGGGCAGTTTCGAGTGCGCGTGCCAGCAGGGTTTCGCGGCCGGGCCGACCCAGTCGTGCGAGGACGTGGACGAGTGCCGCGACATGGGCCACCTGTGCGCGTTCCGGTGCCACAACACGCTCGGCTCGTTCCGCTGCATCTGTCCGTATGGCTACAGCCTGGCCGAGGACGGCCAGCACTGCCTCGGTGGGTACCATATCTTGCCGTTCTCTCCTAAAGTACATGCATAACTACATATGTGTGCACCTACATGCTGTGCATGCACCAACAGTGATACAGCTGTAGATATTTCGATGGTGTCATTCTCTCTGTTTCAGATGTGGATGAATGCCAAACTCCTGCCAATAACTGCCGCTTCCAGTGTAAAAATCTGATTGGAACATTCATGTGTGTCTGTCCGGAGGGCTATCAGAAGATCGGCATGGGAGACAACTGCCAGGTAGGTCCGCTAAATGCCTCGATTATTAGATGGCAATTTCTGGAGAAGTTTTTGTTGTTAGCCAATGCCACTGAGCGAGCGGACACGGCTCAGGCTCATTGATCATTACTCGATTTACATGTCTGGACCGGTATATTTTTGAATTACTAACTTAAGTCGATTAAAATGTTTTAAATGTTATATTGATTGCGGAGTCCATAATTACATCGAGCGCAACGTTGTGAAAATATACCCAATCGGCCGTCATATCAATCATGCTCCGATAAATCTTCTCAGGCAGGATCTACTCGAGCTGATTTGCTATTTTCCTGACATTTTGCGTCCTAACATTTTTCTTCTTTCATAGGACATCAACGAGTGTGCCGCCAATCCGAACATATGCCAGAATGGTTACTGCATCAACACGAAGGGCGGATACCGGTGCGACTGCAAGGAGGGCTACGTACCATCTCCCGACGGCACCGAATGCGTCGGTGAGTGTCTCTCCTACCCATTTACCGGAAAAAGAGCGGCTGACATATGACTTTTTGTTTTGTAAGGAGTATCAGTCCACTGCTAAGGCAGTTTCCGTTTTATCTAGTAGTCTGCACGCACAGTGACGGATATTGGAGGTAGGTATAGCCGATGGAATGCATCGGTTGTTAATGCAACGAGAAATGATACACTGATGTTTTTTCCAGACCAGCGGACGGGCTACTGTTTCCGGCACCTGGTCGGCGGCCGGTGCAGCACGCGCGGCAATGAGCAGCTCATCCAGGTGACCAAGGCTGACTGCTGCTGTACGATGGGCGCCGCCTGGGGTCCCGAGTGCGAGCGCTGTCCGGCGCGCTACAGCCGACCCTACGAGCAGCTCTGTCTGGAGGCCGGATACTCCATCGACGGCTCAGGTGAGAGAGGTGGTCCCTTTCGGGTCAAAGAAGCCACATTCTTGGATGAGGGGTGACTCTCCAAGGGCGCTTTTACTGCTCGCTTTCATTTTGTGTCTTTGCTTTTATTTTCAAATCCTGTTCGTTTTACGTTTTGGCTTCGGCATCACAAAAGTTTACCTTTTTATAACGATGTATTCCCGCTCTCCTTGTTTTCAGACATTGACGAGTGCCGCACGATTCCCGGACTGTGCCAGAATGGCCGCTGTATCAATACGCTGGGATCGTACAGGTGTATGTGTAATCGCGGATACAAGCCAGATCACACCGGAATGCACTGTATCGGTGAGTAGATGCCCATCACCTGTCGTTACGGCCGAAACATGAGACTTATGCTCATTTGTTCTCTCCAGAAGACTGTATCAATATCGTTTTACGAATACCTTATTCTTTGACATTGTCCAGTACCAGCTACCTGTAGGTATGCGTTACAGCATTACCTCAGCAGTTAAGTTCAACATCGCCAGTAGCACAGCATACGTTTTAAATTCTTTTCGATCTCTCTTTGACTGATTAGGATGAACTGAAAGCTTATTCACGCCCCCCCCCCCCGCCGGTATGTGTTGCAGACGTGAACGAGTGCGTGCAGTCGCCGCCGGCCTGCCGGTACGACTGTGAGAACACAGAGGGCTCGTACCGCTGCCTGTGCCCGGCCGGCTTCGTACTGGACCTGGACGGCAGCAGCTGCCGCGACCTGGACGAGTGCGCCACCGGCCAGCACATGTGCCAGCACGAGTGTGTCAACACGCAGGGCTCGTACCGGTGCTCGTGCCCGGCCGGCTACCGCCAGATGGGAGACCAGTGCGCCGGTCAGTGCACTGTTTACTTTAATGTCTAGTGCCCGTTTCAGAATGGTTTTGTCTCCAGCTCGATCGAAGTTTGACTTTGTTGACATCTTGAAGCAGTTTTAAATATCTAGTCATTCGAATCTCCATATGAAATATCTCAATCGAGATATGCATAATCGGTAAATCGAGACAGCTTAATTGCCGTATTTGCAATTCGGATACACTCTTACACGAGCTGTCGCTGTTAATGGTGCGACAAACCGCTAGTGCTGCCTCGACTAACAGCACCCGCTCTGTCCCCTCAGACGTCGATGAGTGCCTGGAGACGCCGACCATCTGCGGCGTGCCGGGCGCCTGCACGAACGTGGCCGGTAGCTACCGCTGCGTGTGCCCGGACGGCTACAGGATGGACGCGGCTGGCCTGCTCTGCGAGCGCGACCAGCTCGACTACGACGACTACGACTGCGGCTCCGACTTCTGCGACGAGGATATATCGCAAAACTGCCAGGTCGGTGGTCGGAGGTGTTAAAATATTTGATAACATCACGGCCAAAGTGTCCTGGACAAAGACCTGTGTTGGGTCTGTCTTGTGTAACTACATATGGTAGGATTCAGACTGAGTGAGTCCGTTATCTACCTACACTTATCGGTCCTCTGTGGGAGCTGTGGTATCGGTCCCCTTTAGCTGTGCAGTGCACGGCTGTGGTATTTGCCCCTGTATCAGCTTTGGCAGTGTTGCTGTGTCTCATGTGTGTTCCACTATAGCAGCTACTATGCCGGCTCCCCGTAACAACTGCGACTCTGCCGTGTGTCACAGGAGCTGTTCGGGCGCACGACGTGCTCGTGCCCCGAGGGGTACGTGCAGAGCTACTACACGGGCCAGTGTGTGGACGAGGACGAGTGCACCCGGCACCCGTGTGGCTCGGCCTCCTGTCAGAACACGCTCGGCAGCTACCGGTGCCAGTGTCCGACAGGATACCAGTTTAACGTCCAGATGCTCGTCTGCGTGCAGGTGCGTAACTGCGAGTCAGCCTTCACTGTCCCCTCCACACTTCCCTCCCCATACGCACTCATGGTGCGCTGCTAAACGACCATTAGCAACGCTACGTACCGAAACCAGATTTTCACTAAAGTCCGTCTCGTCTCCAGCTCGTGTTCGTTTGGGTGCCAGCCTGGGTTGTCTATGACATTCGCCAACTGTCGTTTTTGTTCCTCAGATGGCACCGCAGTGCGTCTCAAGCTCGTGCTCATTCGGGTGCCAGCCCGGTCCCGGCGGTGCCGCCAGCTGCAGCTGTCCGCAGGGATATCACAGCTTCGGACAGGTGAGTTATTCAACCCCACACATTCCAGCTCCATAGTTTCTACTAGTTAATTTATACCGTAAAGTCAGCGCAAACGTCAGCGTCCTTAATAACTGCGGCAGTTAGTTTCAAGCCGGCTGAACCGTACACTCGTCTTCGCAGGGCCACTGTCTGTCGACCATCAGCGCGGCGATGGGCGCCGGCTGGGCGGGCCAGCACGCCTCGTTTAGCTCGTACCAGCAGCTGAGCACGGCGACGGACACGAGCAACATCATCAGCACCGAGGGCTGCTACTCTTGCCAGGTGAGCATTCAACGGTCAGCCGTCAGCGTGCCTGACGCATGACGACCTCACCCTCTCACAGTGCCACGGTCAAAACCGGCAAAAATCGTAAGTTTTTGACAAAATTATTTTTGTAGCCAAGGCCCAATGGTTGCTTCTGGTAATCACAAATCGTTTTCTTTATGCTCGCATTTCCAATTGAGTAATCTCTTCGGCATTTTTCCTTTCTGGTCCTAGGATTTGTTCAGATTCATCGCGGATGGGACTGCGTCTATCGTGTACTGTTTTCTCATGACATCATTTATATTACTGTTTCAGATAAACGGACGCAAGAACCGCGGTCGCCGCAGCGTGTCGTCGGAACACGACGGAGCATGGCAGGCACAGCGCGTTTCTGAACCTACCGACGCGCGGTCACCAAATCAGGTGAGCACCGCGCACTAATCGGGGCTGCTGGATTGCCGGACGGTTTCAGATTGGCACGGTTACATTAAAATGTCTTTTTAAGGCTTATTTTATTTCAGCGCATTAAGTTACACGTTATTGAAAAAAATGCACGCAACAGGCCAATGCTAATTTTGTGTAATACGCGGGGAGGGCAATGCTAAACGGTGATCTACAAAACCAATGAAACGGTGAGTCGTTATGTGACTACAATTTCATTTGCAGACTGCTCCCAATACCGACCAGCAAAACGATGAGCACCGCCATAGGAAACATCAGGAGAAACTGCTAAAGTCACACCCTGACAAGGACCATGACGCGTTATACGTTGTCATAAAGCTGGCGCAAGCAAAGAAGAAGGCGAAGATAGTTCGCCTGCAGCCAGCGCTGAAGGAATTACAGGTTAGTGTTTCTGATGTCAGGCCTTTAATTTAAGCACGACCCAGTATGCTCTGACATAATTGAACTTCTATTCATACCTTGCGATCGAAAGGTTTGAAGATATTTGTAATATATTCTCGGATATCAATATAAACCTGCACGATTTTCCTCGAACGTCGATCATGTAAAGTTTGCTGCTCAACGAACGATAATCACGTAAGACTTTACGCGATACTGTAAAGAGAGAAAGAAAAACGGGAAGATAACGGACTTATTTCTTTTTGCAGTATAACATCCACTACTCGATCGTCCCTGGTAAGAACTCTGATCGGTTCCTGCTGATGACGAGGAACGGCATCACCTCGCTGCACTTTGTGCATCACCAGCAGCACGCGGGTGTCTACGATCTGCTAATAGCCAGCAAGATGATCCACCAAGAGACCGGTCTTCCTGCCGACTACCAGCTCCACCTGCCCGTCAAAGTAGTGGTGGTAGAGTAGTGTGTCGCCGTGCCGCGCGTTTGCCATGTGGCCTTTTGTGCCGGTCGTTTGGGCCGAGTGCCGAGAGCGGAGATTTTTTACTAGCCAGTCAGCCGGTCAAACTGCCCGACCGGGCCGGCGTAGCCTAAGTTCAACTGTATGTGCCATTCGAGTCGTTTGACAGGAGCTCCGATGCGGCCGTCGCCGTCCACGTGTGACGCCGGTGTCAGGTCTGTGAGGTGGGCTGCGGGACTGAGATGGGTGGGTCGCGGCCGAGCCACTCAAGAAGCGGCTGCAACCCTCCTTCACGGGAGTTTCTGTGTTCGATCGAGACTTTGCAGTGTTAAATTTGTGCTGTTTTGTGTGCATGTTTCTGCAACGTCGAGGAGAAAGGAGAGATAGGATGAAAAGGAGGGGGAACTAATCAAAGAGCAGTCTCACCGTATGTAAATGACCAACTTTCCGGTCTATTGAATCACGATGACTCTCGACCAATTCAAATGCTACTCTTATTACTTAACGCTACATTACTTTATCAGACTGGTTTGATATAAAAGCGAGGTTTAAACAAGGCGACTGATCCATACACACTCGACAGTTTTGGCGACCTCGATGCCACACAAACGTTTAGGCCACCCGCGTCATATTTTAACGTCATGTATCGTCATTTTTTTACACGCATCAGTTTCCTCACGAAACTTGTCTCTGTATACTAAAATTTGCTTCGCTTGTGCCGTATGTTTAATAGAAATACAGTAACGTTTCGATAAATGCACGATAAATCCAGTCGCTCGACACTTCAAGAAGCTTACAGAGCCTGTTGCTAATTATGCACTGACCAATGACGTTGATGTAGTTAATGCCGTTATACCAGTTGCTGCACACCTTTCACTCATTAAATGCTACATATTTAGTTTACACATATCCTCTCTGGGACCACACGATGAACCCATCGGGACCAATGTTAGCGTCTATGTGGACTACTGGCAGATACGTCTTCAATCTATTCCAGCAAAATAAGCCCATTTTGAGTCCCTCAATCGAAGTCTTCCATGCTGTTTTATAATAGCTCCGACCGGTTGTATAGATACTGCCTGCCATTGTCTGATGTAGAATTATGCAGTTAATGAATTATGTATGAATGCATGTCTGTGTGCTCGCGCCGTGGATGTGTGCACATGTAATGACGTGTGCTGGTGCGGGTGCGGGCTTTGTGCGGACTGTGGAGTAAACAGAGAGAAGCCGAAGGTGCCTTGCGTGGGTCTTCTCTCGCTTGTTACCATGAAACTTGCCACCATATTTCCTCTTTCCATCTCTCTTCTCTTCTATGCCCCATTGCTGGAAGAATGGCTTAGATGTTGAAGAAAGATGTGATTGAGCTAAATCGAAACTGCCGCTATGCGATTCGCGTCGAGTGTTTGTCCAGTAGTTGCGTTTTCTAGTCCAGGTGGCAGAGCTAAGGTCACCGCGCACCGAGTGCTTCTGACTAGATCATTGTCACGAGTGACAGCTTTTAACGACTTTAGCATTGTTACTTTGTGACTAATACATCAAGCTTATTCATGTTTAGATGCGTGTGCGTGGAAAGATCCCGTGAAGACGGCTGAGAAGTGTTTGTGGATATTCACACGACGCGTGGCCGGATAGTGCGCTGTGGCTGGTCGTGGCTCGAGCGAGACTTGCCGGCGCCGACCGGCGTGTGGCGTGATTGGTTCTGTGCGTAAACGGGGTGAAATACGCGGATCGATGCATGTGCTGAGCCTGATGATTGTGTCCTCATGTGATAATACATGGGTGAACGGGACTTCAATCAACTTCAACCGCATCCAAGTAGAAAACAATGATTTTCGATATATGAACTATATCTATCAAAGCATCGGTTTGGGAAGGGGATGGTTGGTTGCCTTGGGGCGCCCTAATTACAAGGTTATATGAAAGCGTCGACTAAAACGACCAACGTGTAAACTCGGATGTCACAATACAATGCATTACAATCCAAGCCCGTCAAAAACTGTGTATGCGAACAGCTGCTGCTGGATAAATGAAACCGATTTTGATGAACATGAAACGGCGAAGGTCTGGACAATGGCAGCTCGCATGTCGCCCAGCTGTGCCTTGCTGCGCGCGCGAGCACCACTTCCACCGATAGTACCACCTCCAGCACCACTTCACCGGAGAACAGACAGTCCAACAGCCGCGGCCGAGCACACACTAAACGGCGTCCGGTGACGCCTCGTCGGCCGCCTGCCCGACCTCGGCGGCAGTGTCCGGTACCACTGCCGCCTCCCCCGCCCCGCCCGCAACCCCAGTCCCCTCCAACGCCTGTACAATATCGCCCCCGGGCTGCCCACCTGGTGAGGCGGCTCCGGCAGTCCTCTGAGCGTCGACACACTCCGGCTCGCCGGCTGGTTGGTCCGATACAACAGTCTCGTCGCCTGCCGGGTAATGGGCCACGCTTTCGTCCACCTCATGACCCAGGTGTCCCTCCGAAACGGTCGTCTCATCACCGAGATCAGAGTGCATGAAGCTGTCCTCTACCTCTAACACTGTCTCTTCTGATCTCTGATCGTTGGAAGCAGCCTCCTGTTTTTCGGCAGGGTAGTGGGCCACGCTTTCGTCCACTCCATGACCCATGTGTCTCTCAGAAACGGCTGTCTCATCTCCGAGATCAGAGTGGATGAGGCTGTCCTCAATCTCTAACTCGGTCTCTTCTGATCTCTCTTCGTTGGAGACGGGCAGCCCTTTTTCGGCAGGGAAGTGGGCTATGCTTTCGTCCACCTCATCGCCCAGGTGCCCCTGCGAAACGGTCGTCTCATCTCCCAGATCACAGTGGATGAAACTATCTTCTACCTCCAGTTCAGTTTCTTCCGATCTCTGTTCACTGGCAGCGGGCACCTCTTTGTCGGCAGGGTAGTGGGCCACGCTCTCGTTTATTTGTGAATAAACGACAGGTTCTTCAGAAACGCTTATTCCTTCGCCGGGAGGACAGTTGGCCACACTTTCACCCATCTCTGCATCAGTTCTCTCCTCCGAGACAGTGATCTCTTCGGTGGCAGGGAAGTGGGCCACACTCATGTCTACCTCTGAATCTGCATGTGCCTGGGAGACGACCGTCTCTTCGTGTGTAGAGTTGACCACACTGTCGTCTATTTGTGAATGCTCCTGGGAGACCTGGTCACAGTCGACCATGGACTCCTCTACAACCAAACCGGCGCGTTCCTCGGAAACAGAGACCTCTTCGCCAGCGTCACCAATGATGACATTTTCCTCAGCAATGTCACCACTGATGACCGGCGCAGCATCAGCGTTCTGATCATGTTGAACGATCATGTCGCCCTCTTGGGTGGCAGGTGTTTCAGATTGTCTGACGTCCTCGGCAGTTACGGAATCATCCACCTCATTGACAGCCGGCATGGCAGAGTTCTCCATATTCTCCTCAGGTACTGAATCAGGTCCGATAAACTCGTCAGAGTGGGATAGGTCCGGCACCACAACCTCCTCTTCTTGGCGTGTACCGTCGTCTCCCGTACTCTGTTGGCAGTCTGCATCCTCCACATCAACTTTCTGGATACTCCCTTGGTTGACGCCACCGGCCTGCGACACGATGACATGGTGCGGCGTCTGGTCGACCGGCTGCGACAGCAGGCCGTCCTGAGAGGACAGCTGCTGCGCCGCCGCATCGTCGTGTTCGACGGCGGAGAGCTCCATCGGCTGGGCGATCAGCTGCTGGCCGTGAGACTGCTGCAGCTCGTACAGCTGACTGTGCGACATGTCGGCCACGATCACCTCCTGGCCGCTGGCCAGCTCCGAGACGATCACGTGGCCCGGCGGCAGGTGGTCGGTCATGACGAACTGGCCGTGCCGCAGCTGCGCCAGGCTCACCGGCTGACCGTACGCCTGCGATACCACGGTCGGTAGCGTCTCGCCGGGAAGGTGCGGCAGGATCGAGGCCGGCTCGTCCAGTTCCGAGACGGTCACCTGTGAACTCGACACCGATATGCGCGACGAACCCACGCCGGGGCTGTGGGCGACCGATCGGCGCGGCGATGCAGTGGCCCGAGAGCCGAGCTGTGCACCCGACTTGGCTTTCTGAGGCGACACCAGCGTGTGCCCTATCTGGGACTCGGTCGTCTGCGGCGGGTCGATTTGCTGCAGGTCTGGCAGCACCGTTTCGCCCGCTGAGGCGCCGGGCCCGGGGTCTCCGGCCGCCGGCGCCACACGGACAGCGGCCGACCCGGCGTCCACGCTGGCCACCCCTCCACCGCTCACGGCGGTGACTGGCACCGTGTACTCGGTCACCTCCAGCACAGTGCCGTCTGAAACCACCGTGCCGGCGTCGGCGCCGTGGCCCTCGGCCGGCTGCAGCGCGATGTACGAGATCACGCCGTTCTCGTCCTCAACGGGCACTATGCCGGCCGGCAGCGTCATGTACTCGCCGTCCACGGCTAGACTCAGAGAGGTGGCCACGCTGTTGGCAACTGTCGACATGCTCTCTGCCTCGGAGCTCGGGTCTAAGGAGGCAGGGAGCGATATAGTCGCCTCCGGTCGCAGGGCGGCGTCCGGCTTATCCGGCGGCTGGCTGCGGCGACGGTCCGCAACCGTGGACACCACTTTGTGAACCGAGCGCATGTGCCCCTTCAGGTTGTAACTGCGCGAGAATGACATACCGCACAGCTCACACTTCCAGTCGAACTTTCGCTTGGGTTCCACTCCCTGACGGCAAGCGTTTGTACGCATGTGACCCTCCAGCAAGTTCAGGCTTTGATACACAACACCGCACTCCTTACACTTGTACTCCTTGCCGATTTTGTGCCTCCGCTGGCGATGTCTCGCCATCTCCGAGTCGCTGATGGCCTCGAAATCACACCGGTCGCACTTTGGGAAGGTGATGAAGCGAGGCGGCGGGATGCCGTGCTTGGTGTACTCGTGGTAGATCAGCTGGAGTTTTTTGGTGGCCGAGAAGCCGCACAGGTGGCAGGAGCCGGCGCTGCGGACGCCGCGCGTGTCGTGCACGTCGCGCAGGTGGGCGAAGTAGTCCATGACGGTGGCGAAGTCGATGGGATCGCCGGCCTGCACGCAGGCCGTGCAGGAGAGCGTGTTGAGGTCGATGACCGACTCGTCGCTGTGTTCCTCCTGGAAGTGTTTGGCCATCTGGTCGGCCCACCAGAAGTCGGCCTGCTTGCCGCGCCGGGCGCACAGCGAACAGGAGAGCGGCGTCTCCAGCGACTCGGATTGTTCGATGGCGACGGCGGCCTGCTCCTGGTCCTGCTCCTGCTGTTTCACCACCATGAACTCGGTGTGAGTCGGGGAGCCGGGTCCCGTCTGCGTCACCAGACGAACCTGCCGAACAAACATGCGCTGGTTGAAAATGCCGATAGTTTAACATCAACTGTTTTTAGAATCACCTGGCGAGTAATTCGCCATGGGACGACCGGGATTCCACTATCGTCACATTCCCATCGGGCAGTCAGGCAGCCGTGAAAATATCTATAAATGGAGAAGATTATTATAGGCTCTTGTTTTAAAAATGCTTAGCATTTAAGTCAAGCAGTGTATTGACCTCCACAATGCGATCTTATTCAAGTATGAAAACGAAATGGCATTTCCCGAAGACGTCAGTGGCCAGCGTCTTTTTTTTTGTATCACCAAATGTGCACGGCATGTCTATGAAACTAAGTGTGTGGTTGTATTTACCCGAGCCCAGGGTGTACGAAACATATTTACTTATGTCTTGAAGCCTTCCCTATAATTAAGTTCATCTTAGCTCTATTGCTACCCAAATGCTGTAAGGAATTGGTACCCCTCGTTATAGCGCCGAGCCGCGAACTGACCTTGACGCTCTGGCCGCCCTGCAGCAGCTCCGGGTGCTGTTTGAGCAGCTGGCTGACCAGTTCGGACGTGTCGCCCATGTCCTGCACGGTCAGCGTCAGCTGAGAGCTCTCCGAGAACTGGACGCGCTTCTTGCCGCTGCCTGTCGACGGCGTCGGCTCCTGTTTGAGGATGGGCCGCGGCCGGCTGGGCGTGGTCGGCTCGGCCGGCTGCGCGCCGCCGCCCTCCACCAGTCGCGCCCGCTCCTGCTGCTGCTCGTAGTACTCGCGCTCGTCCCCCCGCGGGTCGTCTACAGTCTGCTCGGCAGGCTCGGTCGGCTCCAGTTTGGGCCGCTTGGGCGGCGCGCTGTCCGCCGCCGGGCGCTTCACCGGCGTCTGGCGCAGGTGCTCGAACATGGCGTCCCCGCTGCCGGCCGGCTCCGGCAGCGGCTCCACCTTGGGTCGCATCAGGGTCGGATCGGGCAGGCCCAGTCCGCCCAGATCGTCCGACTCCGGCATCTCGAACCGCGACGGCCGCGCGTCCTCGGGGGGTTCCGCCGCACGGATAATTCTGCACAAACAGACGGCGCAAGTACCACCGTCAGCATCACACACGCACGCACGGCCAGGCCACGATACGTGGATATAGCCAATGTCATGTGCACTACATGGTAGACAGGTGGAGCTGGGCCAAACACAAGACAAATGTCATTAAGACTCATTATCAAAGGAAGGATGATTAAGCTTTAACCTAAACATGTCGGTGTAAAGCACCAAGGATTATCATTGTTATCGTTCTTTTTTTTTAACTAGTAAGCCCGCATACTAACCTTCGGGACGACTTAGAAAAAGAATGTAGGTACAAACTGTCTTCAAAACAAGGAGAGCAAACAAGAACCAAAAAATAGGGATCGTGCCAAAATGAATTTTTTTCCATGAGCATCATGACATAAGCTTAGTGAATAACAAAGAAAATCGATTCCAAGTCCGTGAGACC